CAGGGAGAGACTATCCCAAGAGTGTGAATATGGGAGGTATCTCCCTTGGAAGCTCTGTTTGAAGACCAGCTACCATGGAGAAACAAAATAATCAGCTTCTAGAGATGCATGGTTGCCTATGGGGAAAAAGAATTGGATGATGAGACAGGATTTTTGTAACAAATCTCTATGCAGGCACAACTTTAGTAAAAATAAAGTACATAATAGTCCCTGGATTATCCAGTTCTTAAAGAAAGAGACAATGAGTAAAAGGAAGAGAGAACAGAATCATCAATGCAATAATTTCAGAAAATGTCGCAGAACTCCTGAGCATATGTTTCCATAGAAGCTAGCTAAGAATCACAATATGGAGAATGCAATTATTTTAATTACTCAGCTACGTAAATGGATTCCTATTTGTCCTATCCCAAGCAAGCAGAACATTCAGACCCAATAGATAGAAGAGGAACAAAACAAAGCTTAATCTCCACCTCCTGACACCCTGAGGCGCAGGGAGGGGTTAGGAAGTGTAAGGACCCGTGAGAGAAAGAGTCCAGCTGTCACTCCATGCAGGGTACGTGGAAGAGGAGGAACAGCCTTTAACCGCGCCCCCCCCCGCCCCCCGCCCCCCGCTCCCCAGAAGCCCTTGGTCGCCTCTGACAGGCCAGGGAAGGTGCAGCGATTCTCTGAGCAGAGTGAGCAGGTTCCGTGCCCAGGAGGGCCGCCCTGTTACACCCCTGAGGAGGGGCCCGATGCACTTTGCTACTTGAGTGTGGTTAGAGTTCCTAAGAAACACCCCCTAAGTGCCCCTAGCTCGGGCTGCCCAGGCATGAATACATAATCGATCTTCTCAATTTACATTCCTAGGAAACAATCACATTCTTATAATCCAAACAGAGCATTTATATGTAAATTGAGACTCTTTCATCCCAACAAATTCATCTCTTCTTGTTTATATTTTAGCACCTACAAGCTTCAGCTCACCTAAGGGAATGTCTAAAGAAATAAAAATCTCCAATAAAGGTAGCATTTGATCGACTCCACAAGCTCTGTCAGAGAACTACCCCTAATGCCCATTGGCAATTCTGACATGTGTATAAGCCCTGGGTAATTTAGGGACTGTCAGTACGTAATTCTGAAAATTACTGTTTCACTGTACAGTAAGTACTCCTTTTATGAAAATTCAATGAAACCTAATCATTCACATTGACCACAGCAGAAACTGTAATAATAGTCTGGCTGGTGATTGTTCACCATCCAGGATGTTTGCATGGTGCTGACATTATTAACCTGATAAATTTGTTAAATTAGTATTATTAATTTGGTAAACTTATTGTCAGAAATATGTAAAACACTAAAAATACTTGCACAGTGCTTTAATTTAACAAAGACTTTTTCCATCTATTATTCTATTTAACCTCCGAAGTAATCCCTTAAGGGAAGTATTATTGATCTTGTTTTATACATGAAGAAACTGAATCTTGGAAAGGATACGTAAATCTCCCAAGCCCCACACATAATAAGTGAGCTCAGTGCCCTCTCTTCTACCCAAAGAAGTTGTTACAGCCCCTCCTTACACTCACACACATCTGCCCTCCAGGAAAGGGTGACTGGACACGGATCAGAACAGAGCCAGGCAGCTGCCATCTGGCTGGTATCGCATTCAGTTCTCCAGGAGGCCAGCATGCATCATTCTTAATGTCTGGGATAAATGACCTCTTAAATGCTACAAAGTCTTCAAAGATCTATAAACAGTAGAAGTATATGCCATAATATATCACAGTATAGCATAACATAAAAAGTATAAACAAAAAGACACCAGTGAAAGAGATACTCGTGGGCTCAGGGGAAATTTTAATGCACCTCTGCATTTCAGAATGCCAAAGCCTATTATAACAAATAAACAGCATAGAGAAATACAAAATAAGTAATATGCCAAGTATTTTTTCAGAGGAATTTAAACTTAAGAATATACTTTCTAAAAATCTTATTAATACTGGAAAGCAGAGTCTCCAAATAAATAAGATATAAAAATGTCCAAAAAGGGTTTATTCTGCCCGCAGAAGTGGCCAACATTTTATCCAATCAATAACTTCCTTAAAGTATATTTACAAACTTTATCTTTCGTATTGCATCATACTTTAGATATATTTATAAACTTCTAATTAGGAAAGAGAAATACTGCCCTGGCCAGATGGCACAGTTAGTTGGAGCATCACCCCGTATATACCCCAGAAGGTTGCAGGTTCACTCCAGTCAGGGGTTATAACCAGCAGGTTCAATACCCAGTCAGGGTGTGCATGGGAGGTAACCAATCAATGTTTTCCTCTCTGTCTCTTCCTCCCTCCCTCCCTTCCTCTCTCTCTAAAACCAGTGAACATATCATCAGGTGAGGATTGAAAAAATAAAGAATGAGAAAAACTTTTATGAAGGAAATTCTTTTATAAAATAAACATTACCTAAGTCACTGTTTTGTCAATATTCCTTTTTACAGCGTGACTTTAAAATGGAGACTTCCTGTTTATGACTGTGAGAGAGATGTGGCAATAGTTAAGGCTTGACTGATGCGAATGAGGCTGGCAGGGTGGAGTGGATGGAGCCCAAATGAGAACCAATCTTTGCTTTTCCAAAGGGAATAAGTGTGAGTCACTTCAGCCACTGACACAGACTATTAGCTAGACTTCGAAGGACCTCATCCTAACAGAGACTCAGAAATAGAACCTAAAGGAGGACTCAGTAGAAGAAAACAGTAACAACAGCAAATACACACACGCACACACACACATGCAGGGGATGGTTGTTTTCCTTTTCTTTGAGAGTACAAACTCTGGTCCAACCTTGTTTCCCCGGTGTCTACAAGAAAGGCTGGCAGAGAACTGGAGTGTAGTAAAAATCTGTTGAGTAAATGAAACCATTTGGGGATCCAGCTCTCTTCCCTAATGCGTCTCCCGGTCCCCTTTCTCAGCGCCAGGGGCAATATAATGAAGACATCAAGATTTCAGCCAGGGCGTTGAGGGGTGGGGGGGTGAAATGGGTGGAGGTGACCGGAACACACCAACTTCCAATTACAAGATAAGCGAGCCCTGAGCATGTAACCTACAGCATGGTGACTACAGTAAATAATATTGTATTGTATACCTGAAGGTTGCAAAACAGTAGATCTTAAAAGTTCTCATCACATAAAAAAAATTGTAACTATGTGTAACTAAACTTATTGTGGTAATAATTTCACACTATATACATATATCAAATCATAGTTATACAGCTAAAACTAATACAATGTTATATGTTGATTATATTTTAATAAAACTAGATAAATAAGTATATCTCCAAGCCCAAATGGCTGACTGATGAAAACTAAAAAGAATCAAAGGAGCTCATTCATGAATTTTAGGTAACATTTTACCATTTTTGGCCCTAATTATACAGCATTAGAGGATATTCTGGCTTTGTTCATTAATGCAGTGTGGGAAGTTTTGTGATAGGATAGAGGACAGAAAATCCTGTTTGCTTACTTCACTTTGTGTGTAGGGGTTATCGTGAGTTCAATAAAACTTTCTAAGTTTCTATGAATAAAAAAAAATCTACTCTGAAACCAAACTGCCTGGGTTTGAATCTCATCTCTGGCACTTCCTATCTACTTCACCTTGGACAAGGTTTTGTGCCTCAGTTTTCTCATCTGTAAAATGGTGATAATGGCACCTCATAATTGGTTCATTTGTTCTAAGAATTTAATACATTAATAGTTTCTTATACCAGTAACCCTAGTGTAAGTTTGCAGTCCCTATTGTAATATGAAGAGATAAGAAATATATTTTTATGGAAAAAAAATCCCTGTGTAAATTGAATTAATATTCATCATTTCAAACACTAATTAACTTACTACAAGTATGTGGTTTATACTGAACCCAACAAGCATGTACACTAAAATCAGAAATGCCATTTGAGAATGACTACTATCAAAAAGTCAACAAATAGCCAAGTGTTGGTAAGATTGTGGAGTAAAGGGAATCCTTGTGTACTGTTGGTAGGAATGTAAGCTGGTTCGGCCAGTATGAAGATTCCTCAAAAAACTAAAAGGAGATCTACCACACATCCCAGCAATTCATTTTCTGGGTATTTATCCAAAAAAAAAACCAACACCCATTCAAAAAGATATATGCACCCCTATGTTCATTGCAACATTATTTACAACAGCCAAGATGTGGATGTAATATAGGTATTCATCAATAGATGAATGGATAAAGAAGATGTGGTACATATATACAATGAAATATTATGCAGCAATGAAAAGGAATGAAATTTTGCCATTTGTGACAACATGGATGGACCTAGAGGGTATTATGCTACGTTAAATAAGCCAGTCAGAGAGAAACAAATACCAAATGGTTTCACTTATATGTGGAATTAAAAAAAATGAACAAAGAAAACAAAACAAAAATCAACTCATAGAAACAGAAACTAAAGTGATGATTACCAGGGGTGAGGGTCGGGGGAGGGGTGAAAAAGATGAAGGGTAATACCGTCAGTAATATTGTGGTAAGTTTGCATGGTGAGAGATAATTACTAGACTTAGTGTGGTGAACACATTGTAAGGTATAAAAATGCCAAATCACTATACTGTACACCTAAAACTAATGTAATATTGTATAGCAATATACTAATTTTTTAAGAAAGACTGTCAAGCAGTGGCTCTTAATGGCTGATTTTGTCTCCCTTCAGCCCTGGGGGAATTGGGCGATGTCTGTAGACATTTTTAATTTTCATGACTTTGGAAAGAGGTGCTATTGTCCCCTAATGGGTTGAGTCCAAAGATGCTGCTAAATATTCCACAATTACAGGGTAACCCCCACAATAAAGGATTATCCTGCCCAAGATGCCAGCAGTGCCAAGTTTGAGAAACCCTTCTATACACCTGAGCCGAGAAGAGGGGTATTGATGCCAGAGGGATGGGGTGGGTCTCCTTGGTATAACTCCTCGTTGTTTTCCCTGTCCTACTCTTTTCTCCTACTTGTCTACAGGAGCCAATGCCTCTGCCCCAGACCAACTGAGCTTGGCCCTAGCGTGGAACAGAGTCGACATCGCTCGCAGCCAGATCTTTATTTATGGGCAACAGTGGCCGGTAGAGTATATGTTGTCACCCCTGAAAAGCCCACTTGCCTGGGCAAAGGTGTTTATGTGAAATGTTAAAGGGTTTTCTTTAAGAAGAAGAAGAAGAGCAAAAATAAGAACAATAAATATAGCAATAAATACCTATCTGTCAATAATTGAATCTAAAAAACAAAATAAACAAGTAGAACAGAAACAGAACCATAGTTACAGAAAGCATTTTTATGGTAGCCAGATGGGAGGGGGGTCAGAGGAATGGGTGAAAAAGAAGGGACCAAAAAGTACAAATAGGTAGTTACAAAATAGTCATGGCCATGTAAAGTACAGTGTAGGGAATAGAGTAGCCAAGGAACTTACATGCACAACCCACGGACATGGACAACGGTGTGCAGATTGCTGGAGGGAGTAGAGGGGGCGGCTGGGTAGAAGGGGGCAAAGGGGAAAAAACTGGGACAACTGTAATAGCATAAACAATAAAATATAATTTTTTAAACTTTGTTTTTAAAAAAAGCAGCAGCAGCCTCTCAGAGCAGCTGGGAAATGCCGCCTTTGTTTTCGGATGGGAATGATTTAGGAAATCACTGCCACCTGGTGGAACATACGACTGAGCACAACTCGAAACATTCCAAAACATTTCCATCTCTCTGTGTGGCCTTCGATAGCAATTCTCAGCAGCAAATGATGCCATTTATTTTAAATGTCTGAAAAAAAATGTGTAATACAAAGTTGTATTAATTAAAATGAAGGAGGGATTGGAATTAGCAATTTGTTTCTGGTTGTCTTTGAGGCTGCGGCTTCCAAGTGGTGGCATCAGTGCTGGTGCGCGGCCGGTCGCACCTCGGCGGCAGAATGAGCAGGCTTCCCCCTGCAGGTGCCATCTGGTCCTGGGGCTGAGCGCAGGTCTTCCCTATTCCTGAGAACAGCACAGAGGGAACCAAAGCTTTATATAACTGTTCTTGGTTTGTTTCCCTCAATTAACTACCAAAAATAAAAGCTTGGAAAATTGACCATTGGGTGATGTAGGCAGATACCCCCAGGAGAAAACCAGCAGCCTGAAATTGGATTTCTGGGCCTGGAATTACTGCACAGGTCTTTTTTAACCCTTCCTTTCCCCAGAGAGCTTCTGCTCATTTAGTGTCACTAGTGCATTGCCGGTGTGGAAAGATTCGCCAAGGACCCTGGACACTGGAAAATTTTTGTAAAAGGAATTAAATAAAACCCTAGTAAACAGGCCAAAGGACCTAAATAGTTGCTATGCCTTCAGGTGGGAATGGGTGAGACAAATATAAGGTGGTATCACTTAACTAAAAAAAATAGAACAGCTTACTTTTTGTTCTGTTTACTGGGGCCCCTCTTCTCAAGCCAGCTGAGGTCTAATTCGGAGCCTAAGGAAGATGAAAACAAAGACAGCAAAGTACGCACCTGAGCACTTTACTGCGGTTGCAGAAGTTTGGACAGTGAGTTGAGAGAGAAAAAGCCTTGTAAATCTTTGTACCTTCTTAGGATCAGAGAGAGAGATTCAAGAAGGAAATAACTTTAGCAACTAGAAATCCTTGAGTTCTGTCTGCAAAGACAGACCCCAAAACACACGAGAGATTGTAGCTGCCCCTAAAAGTGGAGTTGGGAACAGTCTTGCTGGTATGTTTTTGAATGTGCTGAAGTTTTATCAGATGTCAAAGGCATCCATTTTGAAACTGTTCAGATGAACGCCAAAAAACTACATCTCTAGAGCCTGGGGCAGACTAACTCAGTGACTTGATTTGCAGGTGGGGTCTCTGGAACAAGCCATGTTGGATGCCCTAGTTCTGGACAGAGTGGATTTTGTGAAATTACTCATAGAGAATGGAGTAAGCATGCACCGTTTTCTCACCATCTCCAGACTAGAGGAATTGTACAATACGGTAGGACCAAGCTAAGGCACTTTTTATTTTCTCTGCATTTTTTTTTTGTTTTATCTTCTCCTCTTCCCCTACATGCCTGTGAATCTCCTCCCTGCCCTCCAAATGCATGGATCATTTTTCACAAATGCTCCCTTACACCTGTGTAGACAAGAAAAACCAAGTCACCAAGATTCCGCTTGTTTTAACTGCTCAGTTGTCATTATCTAAGGCAGAAAGTTATGTGATCACCAAAAGGTAACATTCTCAGATTCTTATACCAAACCATCAGTATTTAGAAATTAGGACACAGTTTATTTGTAAGCCCAGACGGTGTCTGGGGAAATAAGCAGAGGAGGACTGATTTAACACCAAGCATCAAAGGAGGCAAATTAACTATCCTGCACCATCCTGCTATCCTCAGAACTATGAAGTTTACTCCTTTTCCACTGTAATGGAATAAAATATAAAAACCTCTTGTCTGGGACTACCCGAAAGTATTTTTTGTTGTTTTGTAATGATGTTTTAATTCATTCACTAGGGATACCAAGGAGTAATTATAAGAAAAACTATGAAGTTTTGAGAAGTATTCAATGAATTCAGTACCTTAACTCTGAGCTGATACTCACTAAGGTCCAGTAAAATTTAAAATGTAGATACTGCATTCCCCTATTTTACAGATGAGAACACTGAGGCCAAAAGGTGAATTTCTTCACTGAAGGTCACAAATCTCCTAAGAAATAAGCTGCTACTGAACCAAAGCTTCTGTCTTAGAGATTATTCTTGCCTTCATTTGTCACAATGCTTCTCTATCCCACCACCCACAGCAGTAGTGGATGACGCTCATTGACCTATTCCCAGCCAGTTTTAGGTGTTGAATGGTGTCACACTAGCTTTATCTTATTCCCACTGATGAGCGTAGAAAACAGGCTATCAGAGTGGTTCCAGGTTTCTGTTTACTCTGCATATATTTCTTGCAGGGGATCGAGGGAGGGTGTTCAGCATACTGAGACTTTCAGTAAGAATAATAGACCAAAATTGCAGAATAGGAAGCCCAACCTTCCATCCCTACAAAAAGGCTAACAATTAGCCATAGAAGAAATAGATGCATTCCTAGAAACGTACAACCTACCAAGTCTGAATCATAAAGAAATAAATAATTTGAACAGATTAATAACAAGTAAGGAGACTGAATTAGTAAATAAAAAAACTTCCAACCAAAAAAAAAAAAAAAACCCAAGACCACGTAAATTTTACAAAACATTTAAAGGATTAACCCCTTTTTTTTTTTCCAACTCTTTAAAAAAAATTGAAGAGGAGGGAACACTCCCAAAATTATTTTGGTTTGCAGGGCGGTGCTCAGTCCACTGAGCCACACCAGCCAGGGCCCAAGATTATTTTATGAGGCCACCATTACCCTGATACCAATGCTAGATAAGGATACTACAAAGAAAGAAAACTACAGTCCTTGTGGTTTACAGTCCATATTCCTTGTGGATATAGATGCAAAAATTCTTGACATAATGCTAGCAAACCAAATTCAACAGCACACTGAAAAGATTATACACAATGATCAAGAAAGATCCATCCTAGATACAAGCATGGTTCAACATATGCAAATCAGTAAGTGTTATATCAGCCCTGGCTAGTGCGGCTCAGTGGATTGAGTTCTGGCTTGCAAACCGGGGGGCTGGCTGTTCGATACCCAGTCTAGGCCACATGCCTGGGTTGCAGGCCAGGTCCCTTGTGGGAGGCACATGAGAGGCAACCACAACTGGTGTTTCTCTCCCTCTCTTTCCCCCTCCTTACCCCTCTCTAAAAATAAATAAATAAAATATTTTTTAAAAATAAGTGTTATATCACATTAATAGAATGAAAGATAAAAACCACATGGTCATATCAAATAGATACAGAAAAAATATTGGCAAACTGTAGTATCTTTTCATGGTAAAAAAACTCTCAACAAATTGTGTTTAGAAGGAACATACCTCAAAATAGTACAAAGCTACATTTGGCAAACCCACAGCTCACATAGTATTCAATAGTGAAAGGCTGAAAGCTTTCCGTCTGAGCTCAGAGACAGGACACTCTCACCACTCCTATTCTGCATAGTAAATCCCAAAAGGTACAAGAAGGCACGGTGGCAGCAGTGTCTCTGGGTCGCGCGTGGAGATCGGTTGCTGGGGAATGCTAGGCTCAGTGTCTCCACCTGCTGCTTCAGGATGGCAATGCCCGCGAGCGAGGGAGCGAGCGAGGAGAGTCCTGGCGAACGCTTGGTGGTGCTCCTCTCTCCTCGCAACCTCAGTGAACCGACTGCGTCCTCCTGCTCTATGGCTTCCCACCTCCATGGCGTCGAGGAGCTTTTCCATTAAGCGTGGTCCTGCCAGCTTCCTGCTACTCCCAGTGGAAGCTCCAGAAACGAGTTTTTCCATTTTTGCTGAGATGAGCAAGCTTATGATGCATGATTATCACAGAAGAAATTCATCTCTATAGCTTTAAGGACTTGATTATATCATTTCCAAGCCTGAAGTTTTGGAATCACCATCAGAGCTTAAGACACCTCTGCCTTCACTTCAACCGTCTTCATACCTTAATGAAGTGCTGAATTTTAACACTCCTTTGTCTTGGATTTTTTAAAGACATCCCAGAAGTATATTTCTTGACAGTATAGTAGCCAAATTTATAAGGAAAAATGATTCCCAATGGATATTTAAGGTTCGAAGATGAAAATTTCATTGAGTCTTCTATTGCTAAATTAAACGCCCTGAGGAAAAGTGACCTGGTCTGTGATGTTCGACTTCAGATGTGTGGCCACAAGACAGTAGCGCACAGAGCAGTCCTGGCTGCTGCGGTCCCTGTTTGAAATATTTAACAATGATATTGATCCTCATAGAGTTTCTCATGTTAAAGTTGATTATCTCAACCCAGAAGCTGATGAAGTCTTGTTGAATTATGCCTGCACTGCACAGTTGAAGGCTGATAGGGAATTAGTAAAAGATGTTTATTCTGCAGCCAAAAAGTTGAAGATGGATGGAGTAAAGCAGGTTTGCGGTGCTTACTTACTGTCTAGAATGGATGTTACCAGCTGCATCTCTTACCGAAACTTTTCAAGTTGTATGGGAGACTTGCGTTTGTTGAATAAGGTTGATGCTTATATTCAGGAGCTTTTGTTACATATTTCAGAAGAGGAAGAGTTTCTTAAACTTCCACAGCTAAAGTTGAAGGTAATGTTTGCTTACCCAGCAATGGCAAATTGTATACAAAGGTAATCAACTGGGTGCAGCATAGCATCTGGGAGAATGGAGACACTCTGGATGAGCTGATGGAAGAGGTTCAGACCTTGTACTACTCAGCTGATCCCAAGGTGCTTGATGGGAACCTACTAGATGGACAGGCTGAGGTGTTTGGCAGTGATGATGACCATATCCAGTTTGTGCAGTAAAAGCTACCGCGTGAGAATGGCCATAAGCAGATAATTACCAGTTCCACTGGATGTGTCTCTTCTCCAAATGCCATGGTATAAAGCCCTAAGTCTGAGTGGAAAATCATTGCTTCAGAAAATACTTCAAATAACACCTACTTGTACCTGGCTGTGCTGGATGCTATATTCTGTTTCATCTTCCTTCATGGATGAAACAGCCCGCAGAGCTCACCAACAAGTACTCCAAAACTAACAAAAAGTTTAAGCTTTGAGATGCAACCAGATGAGGTAATAGAAAAGCCCACATCACCTATGCATTATGCATGGCCTGGTCTGGGGACAGTAGAGATGAATGGCAAACTCGTAGCTGCAGGTGTCTATGATAGAGAGGAATGTCTTCAAACAGTTGAGTGCTATGGTCCACATGCAGATCATTGGTCCTTCCTTGCTCCCATGAGAACACCACGAGCCTGATTTCAAATGGCTGTGCTGATGGGCCAACTCTATGTGGGTATTGAATCAAATGGCCACTCAGATGACCTGAGTGGGGGAGAGATATATGATCCATATGTAGATGTCCGGATTCCTGTTCTAGAATTGAGAACTAGCCATTGTAATGCAGGGGTGTATGCTCTGAGTAGGGAATTACACATCCTTGGTGGCTCTGATCCATATGGTCAAAAAGCACTGAAAAACTGTGATGTTTCTGATCCTTTAACAAAGCTGTGCTCCTCTGAACATTCATAGACACCAGTCTGCAGTCTAAGAACTTGGTAGTTATTTGTACATAATTGGAGGCACAGAGTCTTGGAAGTGCCTGAGCACCATAGAATGTTACATTCCTGTAAATAACACCCAGACTTTAATTGCACCCATGAATGTGGCCAGGAGAGGAGCCAAACACCTCAGCCTGTCCATCTAGTAGGTCCCCATCAAGCAGCTTGTGATCAGCTGGAGTAGCTGTTCTGGACAGAAAACTGTTTGTGGGTGGTGGCTTTGATGGTTCGCACACCATCAGCTGTGTGGAGATGTATGATCCAACTAGAAATGAATGGAAGATGATGGGAAATATGACTTCACCAAGGAGCAACGCTGGGATTGCACCTGTGGGGATCACCATTTATGCGGTGGGAGGATTTGATGGCAATGAATTTCTGAACACCGTAGAAGTCTAGAACCTTGAGTCAAATGAGTGGAGCCCCTACACAAAGGTATTCTAGTTTTAACAAATTTAAGATTTTTTTCAAACTAACTGGCTTAGTAACATAATTGTGTTTAGTAGAGGTACACTTGTGAATAAGGAGGGTGGGTGGGTATTAAGGTTGCTAACAGCAACACAAAGCCTAACATTTTGCATATTATTAAACATGCTGTACATACTTTGTGTTATTGGGACAGAAGTTGATATTGTAAAATAAACCAAGAATTGATTGGGTGCACCATTTCAAAAAGTCCCCTCTCCTCCACATTTGTTTTGGCAATTTGCACATCAAATGATTCTTTTCCTCCAATGTGTATTAGGGTAAAAAGGGACAGGGTATAAAGATATAGGCAGTTGGGTTTCTAGGAGTCCTGGTTGAACAATTGAAAACACTCTATAACAAAGAGACATTTAACTAGATGGCAATGACTGTTGTTTTTATTTAAAGAAAGCTGACATGCCTACCAAGATTTAATCTTTTATGGTTGCCTTTTATAACTTTTTATATTCTCAGTAGAGTGCTTTACCTGTTGAAGATGTGGTGGATTCATGCTACGGAAGCAGAGTGGCAGTCTTAAAGTATACAGAGTGAGGTGTTTCTTTTACACAGCTAGAATACAAATTTGTAAGCTTTCGCCTCAGCTGCAATATTTTTTTTTTTTTGAGAATGAAGTACCAGCATTCATTTGAATGGAGCTGCTGAGCAGCAACTTAGCTTTAATTTTTATTTGAAGCACCAGTGTTAGCTTTAATTTTTATTTGAAGCACCAGTGTTAGCTTTAATTTTTATTTGAAGCATCATGACTTTTTGAGGGTATATTATATATAGAAGACGCTTAAGATGCAACAGGAAAGAAGAATGAAGTATTTTATCTTCTAAATTCTGTTTTTAATCATTAACAAAACATTCCAAAATGGTAGCCCGTGATTGTGAAAACAGTTAATTTAAACTATATTGGATTTATGAGTGCAACCTTTATCAGAACTATGGTTTTTGCTCAATTTTTCTATTCATGTGGATAAATATTGTTGGAGTGACTTAGTATCAAATGTGTAGTGCTACACATAAAATTTACGGTGCCAAAATTTGCACATCCTAATGCCTGCTGCAATGCAAACATATTAAAGGTACTTTGCAGGAAATCCTTGAACCATGGGATTAATATCCAAACGTTGTTTGTGTGCTCATTCATTACTGAATGTTTGGGGGGAACTTTTTTCCAGTAACAATGAGTGGAAAAAATATTCACCCGGCATCTTACATCTGAAAGAAAGACTGATGTAAGGTTTTAAGGTTTCTTCCCTCAGAGAAGGCAAGCACACAAGAATCTAATGACCTAACTGAGACAAGATGACTAGCCAGTGGCTAACTAATTTGGTTAAGAAGAAAATGAGGTGTTTTCTCCAAATGTTTCACTGGTACTTTGACACCTTATTTGTATCATCCATCCCTCAAAAAATAGCCAAGAAAGGAAATCAGTTCACCTAGTGAATAGATCCTGACTGTATCTATTGCTGGTTTTTCTGGACTAAAACTAGGTTGGCAAATTTGAGCCTAATATGATCACTCTTTTTTAATGGCTCTGTTCATGTTCTATTTAGCATAGGAAATTAACTTTTAGTTGGGAAATCAGCAGTAAAAATCCTTGAAATTACTTCTCAGTTCCTAAGTAACACTTAAATGCGAATATGTGAGATTACTTTGGAACAGAGGTTTCCTGTATTGCCATTGATGCCAAACAGGTATTTTGATGGCTAAAACATATTTTTAAGTATGTTTTGAATGTAAGACATTTCTGTAAGGGGGGAAAAAAACAGCCCTCAATGATTAATTGTTACCATTTATCCACATCTAAAAGGTACATTTTTTCTTGAGGTAAGGAGACAATGTGGTATAGCCTCAGCATAATTAAATTTTTTACCAGGGTAAAAAAAAAGTTCTATAGACTCAATCAAGAAAACTGTTAGAATTAATAAATGAATTCAGTGAAGTTTCAGGATGCAAAATCAACATACAAAAATCAGTTGTATTTCTACACATTAACAATGGACTATCTGAAAAAAATAAAGCAATCCCATTTGCAAGAGCATGAAAAACAATAAACTACTTAAGAGTTTAAGTAAATAAATTTAACCAAAGAAGTAAAATACCATACCCCCAAAACTATAAGACATTAATGAAAGAAATTGAAGAGGTTACAAATAAAATAATATGATGTGTTCTTGATTAGAAGTGTTAATATTTTTAAAATATCCATACTGCCCAAAGCCATCTATAGATTCAGTGTAATTCCTTTAAAATTCCAATGGCATTTCTTTACAGAAATAGAAAAAAAAATCTTAAAATTTGCATAGAACCACAAAAGACCCTGAATAGCCAAAGAAATCTTGAGAAAGAAGAATAAGGGTGGAGGCATCACACTTCCTTATTTCAAACTACATCACAAAGCTATAGTAATCAAAACAGTGGGTACTGACATTAAAAACAGACATATAGAACAATGGGACAGAATCAGGAGCCCAGCAATAAACTCACGCATATATGGTCAACTAACATATGACAAGGGAGCCAATATACAAAAACACTGTGGAGGTTCCTCAAAAAAATTAAAGTATTGGCCAATGGGTACAAACTTTTAATTATAGAATGAGTAAGTTCCAGGGATCCAAGGTAGAACATGGTGACTATAGCTAACAATGCTGCATTGTATGCTTGAAAGTTGCTACAAGAGTAGAGCTTTAATGATCTCACCTTAACAACAATAGAATGGTAACCATGTGAGATGAAAAATGTGATAACTAACCTTATTATGGTAAACATTTCACAATCAATATATAAAAGTATCAAATCATTTTATACATGAAACTTACACAATATTATGTCAATTATATTTCAATAAGGCTTTTGGTAGAGTAGAATGATGGGTTTTTGGTAAAATAAAAAATAAAGCACAGAGTTGAATTTCTTGCCTCTCAATTAGAGAATTAAGAGAGTAGGGTGATTTATTCTAGTGATTGTCAAGAAATAGGAAAGTTCTAGATGGAGAAAGGCCAATAGATGTTATCACTCCAATCAACTGGTAATGTTTCCCTGGAGAACTCTGTTGAGAATTATAAAACAGTGAATGGCCTCAGTAATAATAATAGCTAACATTTATTGAGTACTAAGCATTTCTGCAATAGCTTTATAAATATTTTATCATTTAACCTTTACAACATTTCTCCCAGATAAATGGAGATGTCATCCTCATTTTAGAAATTGCAATACTGAGTCACAGTTAAGTAGCTTGCCCATAATCACAGCTGGTAAGCAGCAGACCCAAGTTTGGAGGCTGGCATCCTGACTCTAGAGCCTGCATGTTTAATCCCTACACAATACTGCATCCCTCAGTGGAAAATGAGTTCTGATGGGTATGTCTGCATAAATGGGCAGGTTGCTGAGGTAGTAGAGAGGTATTGTCTCAATCCTTAACTGTGTTTCACCTGTGCTTAAGGATTTGTCATCACTAGTTTGAGATCTTCCAATAACATTGCCAAATTAAACAAATAAAAAATACAAGATGCCTAGTTAAATTTAAATTTCAGATAAACAACAAGTAATTTTTAATATAAATCTGTCCAAAGTATTGCATGAGACATATTTACATTAGAAATTATTCACCATCTGTCTGCAATTCAAATTTAACTGGGCATTCTGTATTTTAGCTAGCATTCCTATTCCTGGAAGACAATTGGATGGCAAACCATTTCATTTTATTCTTACCTTAAGCAAGCATACATCTTTCTCCCAAGCCTCTCTTTTTCCCAAACTTCCTATGGCCTTTTCTTTAGACTAGATTTTTGCAAACTACCACCCATGGGCCAAACCAAGCTCGCCACCTATTTTTGTATGGCCTGCAAGCTAAGAATGGGATTTTTTACATTTTTTCAGTGGTTAAAAAAATCAAAAGAAGAATGGTATTTTTGTGACATTCAAACTATATGAAATTTTACTCTATTTTGTGTCCAAAAATAAAGTATTACTGAAACATAGGCAACCTCATTTGTTTAAGTATCATCTCTGGCTGCTTCTGTACAACAGCTGAGTTGAACAGTTGCCATGAAGACTACATGGCCCACAAAGCCTAAAATATTGACTACCTAGCTATTTACCCGCCCCCCCCCCAAAAAAGTTTGCCAATCCTTACTTTAGATAATTTCTCATTCCATATGGATAATAAAAAAGATGTAGTTGGCAAAGTGATGAAGTTTACTTCCAATGCAATAAACTGGCCCCTTTGTCCCTCCCACCTACTGCAAAACTAGCCCCTTAAATGATGTCTTGGTTTAGCTGTCAACAGCATTGATGGCTTCCTTTATAAGGTTTGAACCTAGAGCCTCAAATGCTTTCTCTTGAGGAAACACAATCTAAAAATCTGCCAGTGTGTTTCTTTAGAAAAGGCAGGTACAACTGAGCAACTACAACAAGGTTCATCTTAACAAATGTCCCTCGCCAGTCAGACCCTTCCTTCCAGATCTTTCTTGCCTTGTCAGAGAGAGCCCGACTAGCAAAACCATTTGATTCTTCTTTATTGTTTTCAGAGACATGGGCCCTCAAACACATTGTACCACTTGGTCAGGGATGTCAAAAAGGTAAGAACCCTCTCGACTGAACGTCGGAGGCCATCTTGACTGCTTCCTGTGATTAGAAAGCGCCTCTGTTTAGCATTGCATGAGCTGCCAGAGTATTCCTATCCCTGCCAGATCCCTCATTTCAGAACACAGCATGTGTGTATGTCTTTTAACTCTGACATCTCTGCTTCTGGTGCAGCTGCGGTTTCTCTCCAGTCTCCGTGTTCTAGATGCTTTCATTGGACGTGGTGCTTTTGGATAGTGGAACTCTAGGCGTTTTCCTTGTGCCATGTGGATTTATGCCATTACCTGTATTTTTCCATATGCCCCTCACTGTTTGGGGAGCTAGTTTCCGTGCTGCCCTACTGACCATAAGACGTATCTTCGTTTAGTAGCTCCTGATGCAATGTATCGCTGTCAGGCCTAGCATTATACAGAGTGTAGTAAGAATAGCTCAGAAAGTCTCAGAGAAATAGAAACTAAAACACATGTATGTCTACCATTCTTCTAATACTTTATTTATGCCTGTATATTTTTTCACATTCATTATCTAAGATTTTGATGGGGGAAAGAAAGCCAGGAGATTTGTCACATTTTACAGATAAGGAGGCTGAAATGCAAGGAGGTGAGAGCTGTAGTAAGTAATTAGTGAAGAGCTAGGATTAGAATTCAGAACCTTTGATTAATAATAAAATAATAATACCTGATATTTAGTGGTGACTCAGTGTGTGACACCAATCTAAGTTTTCTATGCATCTTAGCTCATTTCATCTTTCTGACAATTCTATGAAGTAGAATTGCTGTTGTATTATTATTTCATTATTATATAGTACTGTTCCCAAATATAGATGAGAAGAGTGAGTCACAGGGAGGTTATTTTTTAATTTAGCCAAGTGCTTATTTTTTTGCCCCATACAATCTCTTCAGAGGCAGCTTTGGGTCTGAGTCTTTGACAGCCCTCCCAGGGAGCGATGCATTAACTCCAATGGACAAAACAGATGGTGGCACTTCTCCCACCCCATACACATGTGTACATACACACACACACACACACACACACACACACACAGGTATACCCACCTACCAATCTGTAGCAACTCTTCACCAAAGTCCATAAGACATACTCAGAGAAAGCTATACAGTAAGGTCAAGAATAGAGTCCAATCCCTTCACATCATTGGAACTTGCTGGCTAGAACTGACCCATAGGTGTCCTGTAGCCTCTTTTTCATTTTCCTTCAAAAGGCCAAGAAAAGGCCCAGGGGCTGCTTATACTGTCTGGATTTATGCCATTACCTGTATTTTACCATTACCAGCTGGTACCTGTGAACCAGCTGGACCCAACAACCATTTTACCAAAATCACTTCTTTCCCTGGTCCACCCCATTTCAAGCCATAAGCACATCCATTCTCCACAAACCTATTTCTCTTTCCTTCAGTTCTTTCCATTGTGTTTAATTTGTCCTGGTTGACAATTGCCTAGAAACTAAACAGGGGGCAGTATCCCAGAAGACTGTGTACACATCCGATATGTATTCTTTGACAAGATATTTGTTGCTCGTGTTCAATAAAATGTCTTGAGGTTTTTCTAAAATAATAAGATACTATCTCCCTTACCTTAAGCTACTCTGTGTCACTGAAGGAACGGGAAGGCTCTCTGAGGAGACAGCTGTACCTTTGTTCCTCAGTCCCAGCTGTCGGCCAATCCCAACCATTAAATAAAGTCACTCATCCACCTCCATCACTCAGCTTCTCAATGTCTTTTGTGATTTTCAAAGGGATTTTCTAGTTAGATTTTACTGAGTACAAATGATCAGAACCTCTCCTCATAGGTGTTCTTCCTTGCCAGACTCTGCTTTGCAATGTCATGTTCTCTTTTCTGAAATCCCAGTAGCTGCCTCTTGCATTTGTTCACTTGTATTAAAAGGCATGTAGAGTATTCTTAAGGTAGGGTTTTTTTTTTTAACTCTTAGCTACGGATGTACCTCAAAAATAATAACTAACAAGAAAGAACAAAATGGTAAGAATTTGGAAGGAAGGAGTATTAGTTAGAAGCAGTTTCATTTTTCTTTTAGTGTTATCCAAATACTAGAGCAAGAATATAGTTACATAAGAGTTCATTTACTTACTGATTTGGTAACTGGGGAAAAATTGATAACAGATCACCCAGAAAAGTACTGAACTGACTTAGGAACAATTTATCTTTCTAACCTGGCAATGGAGACTGGCAATAAAGTGGGGAGAAACAGAAAGCCTATGTTTAGCTTCTTCCTTTGGGAATAGGAGCAGGAAATGCAGAATCTATTTCTGTGATAAAGATGAGCATGTGACTATTGGAGAGCAAAGAAAAACAGTGGTAGCCAAAGGAGCTGAAAGTGTCTACATGTTGTTACGTGGAAAAAAGGAGCTGAAAATAAGAGTGGTTGTTTGTGTTTTTTTAAAGAAGTGAATGGTAGAGAAATTAATATTGGTGCACATTTTCCTCAGGTGGTTCCAGAAGACTTCGAGCAATTTAGGCCAATAAGATAGTCAAAGTCTACAAAAATTAGGTTTAAATTGCTAAGAAAATCTTGAACAGTTTAAGCAACTGTCAAAATTAAGGAAAATAATTATTAGAATGTACTTTGTGCTTTATAAGTATAGGACTTTATGTACATATCAACGGATTTAATCTGTGACAAAAAATTAATCTGTAGGTGATAAACCCGGGTACAAAATGTTGTTCATAAATTATGAACACAGTTCTGGACCCTAAACATACTGTTTGATAATATGTCTGTAAATGAAACGTAAGTAACCCTTACAAACCCAGGGAACGCATTTCGGAATTATCAGACATCATAAGGTAACTAGTGTGACATCTAAAAGTCTGACTATCCTTTGGAATCAACAGAGTTGAATGTGGAGAATTTCTCCCAAGCTAATTTCAAAATCTCAAATTATTGATACCAAGGGGGCAATCTAGGAGCAATGAAGTAAAGAGTTGGTATTCAGCATCCATTAGAAATTTAAAATGATAGAAACCAACCCAATTCCCTGAACTGTTTTCATGCATAAATCCATTGGATGTACCAGTGCTCTCTTATTAAGCCAGAGTGGCCTGAGTCTGTCTGCTTTTTCATAAACTCTAACTTGCTATTTTAGTAGCTAACTGTCTGCTCGATTTGTGCCTCTGTATGTTTTAAAGTAGTTGTTAAAATTAAATGTGCTAATACTTCAGATGATTACCTATACTATCCCTCCCCACCAAAGGAGTATGATACATAAGTTTTACATAGAAGCAGTGTGTAATGATGATAGTTTAAAATTCATTCACATGGGAATCAAGACTCAGAGCTTTACGGAATGAAGAAAAAAAGCATTTCAGACACACGTTGAGTAAAGAAAGGACATTTTATAATCCCATCTGCTACATTCATGCAAATTTACAAACCCATTCTTATTTTTAATAAAATTAGTTGCCCAGTCTGTTACTACTATGCCAGGCACTGGAGGAATGTCCTCTTCTTTTTCCATAAACTTTCACCAGCACAGCCTTTTCGCCACTCTCCCTTGGTAAACCTGATAGCCAGCTCTCATTCACACCTAACATGCATCAGAAGGAAACCACCTTGTTTGAAGACTTGTAAGTTTCCCAGGAAAAAAAAAAAAAGTCTCCTAAATAGCTGAAATCTGACAGTGATATCATAAGCTGACATCTGAAAAACAGAGTGCATTTAGAAGAGCAGATCTAAGTGAATTTAAACTATTCTTTTAATTAATGTTATCCTTAGGTATGGCATGAATTAAAACTTAGCTACAGAGTAGTAGCTCATAGCATGAAAAAAATAAGATGACATTTTCAAGTTCTCAAGCTGTACCTATCCCTAGACCCAGCTTCTCTGTTTTATCCTGTGGATCAAATTATTTCAATCGCATGGCTTGCCATGCATTGTTAAGTCGTGAAATGGGAAATAAGTGTTCAGGCCGTACTAGGTACCAAATTAATTACCAAAAAGAGGAGGGGGAATAACAGAAACAGCAAGCGGGGGGAGTAACACACCAGTATCATTGTTGACGTTCTATTTGAGAAGGACCCGAGCTAAGGAAGACTCCTGCAGAAGGTTTTGGGCATTCCCTGCGGCGTCTGGGGTGCTGGTCGCTTTCTCTGCTTCGTCCACAGAAGGTGGATGTGATGAGCACTGCCCCATCCCTGTCCATCCCTTTTCCATCCCTTGTCTCTAAGCCGCCAGGTCCGCTGACCACATTTCAGAGGATTAGTGGAAACCACATCAACCCTGGAAGCTCTGGACAAGAGACTTTGCCCAGTGGCCTGGCAGCATAGACACAAGGGCAGCCTGCCAGGTAGTAGTCAGACAACCGGACCTTTAGATAGAGACAAGAACTTAAAAGTAACTGTGTTCGAACTGCCTGTTTTCAAAGTGTTAACTGAGGTACAAAGAAAGGGTGTCATCTGGTCAGGCTGACAGGCCAGGCCCACAGTCCAGCGCAGCACTGTTTCCCCTGTAGGGTCATACTGCTGACTCTTTTCTGCACACCTATTACACCTGCAGGGCACAGGTGGCCGAGGCCATTGGCTCAGATAGGTTCCAATGCTGCTATCCCCTTCGGAGCTCACCCAGGGCACAGTTATTGTAGTTTTATTCATTTTATGAAAATCTATTTCATCGTCCCCAAAAGGTTCCCACACTTCCCAGTAAAAATTGCGAAACTCATTTCCCTTAATTTCTCTGCTTCCAGAAGGCTTTGGGAAAAAAACAGCTGCAGTCAGTCTTGCAGACTGAGTGCAAACACATTGCCTGGTAAAGTAAGCATTCCCTCCTCCAGATATCATTACAAAAGCAGCTGACTCTCTCCTTATCCCCAAATCCTCCAACCTGCTCTGTATTCATTTACATTGCCTTATTACACTGAACAGTAGGTACGCAAATGCTGGAGAGGAAGGAACCCTCGTTGGCTTTGGTTAGGTGAACATCGCCGCCTTGTGGTCAAGCAGAATGCAGTCTTTTTTTTTTTTTAAAAAATCCTGGCCTTCACTGAAAGTTGGGTAGAACACATGATAGTCTCTGAATCCTTTCTCCTGATTCAGATCAGATTATACATCACTCTGAAAGAACCAAGCTTTATATAAGAAGTTTCTAAAACCAAGTTTTCTTACCTTATTTGGTAGTATATAAACCAAAGAGCCCTTTATGAATAATAATGTCATTTGCAAAAAATGTTTTATTTGCCCCTCTTAAATTTTTATTTATTTTGAATTTTACTATCACCACTTTACTGACAACTCCCACTCTTACAGACACCTCAAATGTATAAATATTGCCATTCAATACTGGCCTTCAGTCAATATTGGTTCTTGTTCTTAGAACTTAAACTAATGCTTACATACAGATTTATCAAGGAAATATATAGGTGTTAGACTCAATATTACCCACGTTTCAAATTTAGAAAATTGCTACAAGATTAAAAATAGGCGCAAATTCATAGACTTGCTGTGACTGCCTTTCAACAGCATCACAATAAATCCTTTGGGGGTTTTTTTCAAAACTGGGTACATTACAGACATAGGGGCCATGAAGATCAACCCTTTCTACTAGGAAGAAAACTGAGGGAGAGTGAATTAATTGTTAAGGACAGGCAGAAGCCCAGAGCAGCTGACTCATAGCAAGTATTGCCCACCCTGCCTGCTTCCCAGGGCCAAGGACAGTAACACAGGTGGGGCGGGCCTTCTCTCAAGGTCATTCTTATAGGAACCAATGCTTGGGAGAGAGGCTGACTTGGGCGTGTCAGGCTCTAGGGCTCTCCTGCTTTTGAAACACCAGAGTTATTAGAGACAGACCAGATAGAAACTGCAGCCTCATTAACTTGTCCCAAAAAAATGGAGGAAAATTATTGCACAGGTAATATTTTTAACCTCAGTTTAATGTTTATGGAAAGAGCAATACCTGAAAAGTTACAATCTTCAGATAAAACCTCTAAGTTTCCTTTTTTATATTTTTGCTATGCTTTGCATAAAGAAATCAGACAATTAGATCGATGAGATAATCTTCAGACAAAGGAAACCTGGAAATTCTGAGAGAGATGGGGAGGAGTAGAGAGACTTGTCTGTGAAGGGGCAACTCAGCTAATGAAATGGGCCAAGGTCAAGGATGGGAGGGGTTCTGTGTCTCAAAGAGCTTCTATCTTATCGAGGATGCCCTTCACACAGCCCCACTTTGCTCAGGCGGCTCAGATTAGGTCCCCAAGCCTCCCTTATACCCCAAAGTAAGGGAGAGGTAAAACACAACGGGGGAGCTCAGAACTAAATCTACAGGCAGCAAGGAAGTTGAAAGGGCAGCACTGGGGTCTCCATCCACTTGGGCGGTTGCGTCAGTTGCTATCCATTCATTCCTGCCCACACAGACCCATCAAGACACATATTTCAAGTCAAATTTCTGCAGTAAAATAAGGCTTCCTCAAACAGGGGTGACTCACACACTGTGGCTAGTTAGTTCTGTTACTGAGAACATGACACTAAAAAAATCCCAAACTGAGACTTGATCCCAGCACCTTAGTTAATGTCACTGTTTTACTCATTTACATTTTCAACAACAACCACACAAAGCATTTTGAATGGCTCCCACACACCAGGCCCTTATAAAAGGCATTGGGAATACAAAGATAAATAAAACAATTAAGAGTATAAAGCAATTCCTCCCTGCCTTCTCCTTCAACGCAAAGGATATTCAGAAATGACTTCATCCTGACATCCATTCTGCTCTCCTTTTAAGAAAAAGGTGCCAAATAGTCATTGTTAATAGAAGTTTGGAATTAAAAGAGATCTGAGCTCAATGTGTACTGCACCTAATGCGAGCCCTGGTAGTAACAATCAGCTTCTGGAAGGAGTCTTCACTCAGTAGCTGTGAAGAAATAAATCATCAGCAAGAGGTTAGTAACAGGCCCAGGTCAGAGGCAGAGCAGAGGAGCCTGGGAACATCTAGGGAAGCGAGCTCCTAGTGTCTGGGAGCGATAGCATTTGCCTTGTCTAGCCTTGTGTTTCTTTCTGCTACACTGGTGTTTTTTTCTCCTCAGCTGAAGACTTGAATAAATATTTTGATTTTCTGTTATTGCCGACGATTACTGCATCTTCTTATTTAACTTATGTCTTCTTTCCAAGCGAGAATATCCAGGTTTCGGTTGGATCTATTTTAAGGTGAATTAATTAACCAGCATAATAATACATTCATATGTTTCTTTTTTTAATTATTTTTTTTACTCTAAAATAGTTACAGAGCACATGGAATAGAATCCCTAGTAAATCACGCTGTCTTTTGGGTGTGTTTGTTTCGTTCTTCCCTCATAGGGGAACCTGCCCCCTGACTACAGAATCAGCCTGATCGACATCGGCCTGGTGATCGAGTACCTGATGGGTGGCGCTTACCGCTGCAACTACACGCGCAAGCGCTTCCGGACACTCTACCACAATCTCTTCGGCCCCAAGAGGGTGAGACTTGAGGGCAAATTCTGTTTCCTGAGCTTCTGGGTGGACTAGGGTGAGACAGACTTGGGGTGTGTCTTCCTTCTCTCCCAGTGGGAGATCAGAGGAGAAACAACACTCCACCTCTTCTTCCCTCCGTCATCAAATCCATTAAAAGAGAGAGAAAAGAAAAAATGTATTTGGTGATAGTACAGTCCTTTCTTTTCCTCCCAAGGTCCACCTCAAATCAAAAACTGGCACTGAGAGTGAGCCTTAAAGATGAGGGAATAGCAATGAAATTCAAATGAACCTTATTATGTACCTCAACAGTTTTCAAGGTTTTGAGTCTGGGGATCTATTTAAACCTTTAAACATTATTGAGGGCTCCCAAAAGTTTTACTCTACATTGAGTGCTATCAATATTTATCATGCTGAAAATTAAAGTTGGGACTGTTTAAAATAATTATTAATTCATTTTAAGATGTCCATAGGAAGTCCACTCATTCCATATTAACATAGATAACATGTTTATGAAAAACAACTAAGTCTTCAAAAACCAGAATCCATGATGAGTAGCATTGTTTTACATTTTTTGCAAATTTCTGTAATGTTTGACTTAAAAGACAGCTAGATTCACATATCTACTTCAGCACTCAGTCCATTGCAAGATGTTGTTTTGGTTGAAATATAAGAAGAAAATCTGTCACAAAACATGTCAAATATGACAGATATAACAAAAAAGGAAGAAGTAGCCCTGACCAATGTGGCTCAGTTGATTGGGTGTCATCCCACAAAGCGAAAGGTGGCTGGTTCAATTCCTCATCAGGGCACATGTCTGGGTTTTGGGCCAGGTCCCCAGCTGGGGGCATAGAAGAGGCAACCGATTGATGTTACCCCACACATGGATGATTCTCTCCCTCTCTTTCTCCCTCCCTTCCCTTCTCTCTAAAAATAAATAAATAAAATCTTTAATTTTAATAAAAGGAGAAAGAAATCTTTACAGATAACTGTAGATACTCTTTTTTGATACATCAAAATTCAACAAAAGGCAATTTCTTGAAGACTAGCTGCAACATAAAACCTGAAACCATGTCAGTGAACTTTTCATACAGTTACATTAAAATTCAAACTTTAATATGTATGAATCTTTTAACATTAATAATTGTAAAATATCAGTTTGTTGAGTTATGTGCAGATATTCCAAATATTGACACATTTTTATTATGCAATTTCAAAAGTCTGCATTCATTAGCACTTCCAATCTCATCAGAATAGTCTTTAAGTACCGAAAAACTATCAGGCGGGGGCGGGGCGGGGGGGGTGGAGAACAAGTTTTCCAAAATTCTTTCTTGTGCTTGAAAATTTGAATTTTATCATTGACAACAAATACTGTGAGCTGTTTTCCTTAAAATGACAGTCCTACTTTGTTCATTTTCCAAATGTCGGCAATTCAAGTCTAAACAACCGTAGTTATCTGCCGATTATTCCTTCACGTGATCATTCATGAAACAGACTGGACATCATTCAGTCCAGACAACCCTGTAAGTGTTTTTCCTCAGGACGCCCGTGCTTGTTCGGTATGTAGCGGAAGTGCTTAAAGGATAGTTCCCATTTCACACCTCAGAGTAGTAAAAAGACATTTTTTTACTAGCAAGAGTAGAGATTTAATAAATTTAATAATTTTTTAGGCCTCATCAAGCACATTCTTAAGTGAAACTGTTTTGTTTTAAACTTGGAGTATATAATGGTAAAATCTAATGATAACTAATAAATTCTGGTACCACTGCCTTCATTCTTGCTAAAACACCCAGCAATTTTACCAACCATTGCCTTTGCACCATCAGCACAAATATTAATACAGTATCAATCTCAAATAACATCTTAGTGTTACTGTGAAAATAGAGTTGACTTCACAGATCCCTAGAAGGGTCTCAGGAAAGACACCGGACCCAACCGCCAGCCCAACCCCCAAACAGGTCACATGGTCCTTGGACAACATTTTGAGCACTTCTGCTGTAACTGGTGGTAGGCATGATTTTTTGTTTGTTTGTTTGTTTTGGCCAAAGCTTATCTTCTGATTATTCAATTATTTTTGTGGTGCTAGATGAGAAATATGAAAATACTAAAAACTGTAAATTTTCAAAAAGCACAAATTTCAAACTGGTGATCATTATGAAAGCTAAAAGGGGAAGAAAGGGAGAGAGACAAGGTACAAGTGATTCGTCCTTGAACGGTCAGATAAAATTTGGAAGAACTGTAAGTGATGTAATCTTATTTTTTACTCAAATAACTTTCAGGATGGCACCCAACCATTTTGTAATACTTAAAACATAGAATTAGAATCCCTGACCCCTGAGATGTAATTTTGTATCTCCCCTTGTTAAATGTAAACCAAGTTTCTGTAATTGGCTGCATTGCTTCTCTGTTCATCTTGGTCTGTGCCTACTTTGTACATCCCCAGCAGGACCAATGATGCTTCTGTATGTGCTAGCACTCCCAGTGCCGCTCAGTGCCTTTGGCACCATCAGCATGTGACCCCTGGCCCCATTCACCCTTGCTCTACTGAACAGCAGTGTAGGGAGATGACCAGCGTGAAGCATCTAAACATACACTTCTGAAAAATATCCCAAGTGTCCAGGTAATATAGGTCTTTCAGAGGTTTGAGAAACATCTCATGGTTTAACTGAATGTTTCATTGCTGACTCAAGTGTTTGATGCCATGGAGACGCCAAACAGGATGGCTCTGGGAAGACAGGAAAAATTTTGGTCCACAAAAGGATTGAAAAACCTGCAGGGTCTTCACGTTATGCTTTTCAAGTTTTCTTATTTTCTGTGATTCACCAAAATCACTAAATTCCTAATTCTCTAAGATGTTCAATAAACAGGTTCCCTCTGTGGTATTTTATTTAGTGAAATAAATAAATGCTATATGGTGCAATGGAATTGTTTCATTATCTGTTTGAGATAAAGAAGGATTCTTTTCTTATATCTCTAAAGAAAGATCTAACTTTGTACATGAAAATTTTTTTAACAGCCCAAAGCCTTGAAACTACTGGGAATGGAGGTAAGTGCTCAAATTATTAGTGCCAATTATTCTATTTTCTACACATTTTAAATATATACATAAGTTCATCTTAGTGGTAATACAGCTTAGTACATGATTCTAAAATAAGGTAGTAAAATTTTTCCCAGTGTTGAGGGGGCAGGTGACAGTAGCTTTGAAAATTTCACCATGAGGTTACATTAGCATTGCAAACAAGGAAATAAATCCTTTTCAAAATATGAACTTGAAAACCAAGAAAACATATATATTCCAGAAAGTGAAATGTATTTGTGAGTGCTTACAAATGGCAAGAGATCCAAAGGCCAGAACTGTTTCACAAATGCATCTAATAAGGTATACAGAAACTCAAGATAGATTACCTTCTTCCCATCTTTTGTTAATGTGGTTATTATTGTATATGCAAATACAAGTGTAGGATGTCCTTGTCCTTTGAGAGAAAAAGGGAGCGCTGTCCATCATGAGGGACAAATAACCCTACCTGCAGAGGCGAAAAAATGGACAAAAGTAAAAATAAAAAGAAAATGGCCCATTAAAAATACTTTTAAAAAAGTGAAGTATAATAATGACATATTCCCATGAGACTGTGCTTATACTATTCTAACTTGTCTTAAAATTAGGCATGCATGAGTTAGTGAGTTCTTTTAGGATTGGAACTGGGATAGGATACAGGCATACATACCTCAGGGCTATTGTGGGTTTGGTCTCAGACTACCACGATAAAGCAAGTCATAATCTTTTTGCTGGTGGAGGGTCTTGTCTTCAATTTGTTAAAAACACAACATCTGAGAAGTACAATAAAGTGAAACACAACCAAATGAGTTATGCCTATAGTTCATTTATGTATCTGTCAGAGTTGGACCAGTCATAAAATATTCAGTATCTGTTTACTGAATTTAATTGATTCATTTCTAACTCCACCTCTATGTTTTTTTCCCTAAAATTACAGGATGATGTTCCCTTGAGGCGAGGAAGAAAGACAACCAAGAAACGTGAAGAAGAGGTAGACATTGACTTGGATGATCCTGAGATCAACCACTTCCCTTTTCCTTTCCACGAGCTGATGGTGTGGGCTGTCCTGATGAAGCGGCAGAAGATGGCCTTGTTCTTCTGGCAGCATGGCGAGGAGGCCATGGCCAAGGCCCTGGTGGCCTGTAAGCTCTGCAAAGCCATGGCTCATGAGGCTTCGGAGAATGATATGGTCGATGACATCTCCCAGGAGCTGAACCACAACTCCAGGTTGGCCAGCCCAGGAAATGGGGTGATCAGGGGACAAGAAGGGGAGGTAGGCCCCAAATATTGGATGGAGGGTCTGAGCTACCTAAAACTTTAAGGTGAGGCAGTATCACCTCAATAGTGCACAGAGAGAGTGGACATGAAGAATTTATGTATATGGTGAACAGTACTAGATATGGAAGTATGTAGAGATACACAGGAGATGGCTTTTCATCCTTTCGAGTGCCCCAACATGTCCGGTATTTTCACTGTAAACATCTTTGCTACAAGCATGTTTACCACACAACCAATTGTCTGTAAAGCAATTTTTCCATAAAAGATAAAATAACAAAAATAAATGAAAGACATTAAAAAGGACATAATGGAACATGAAAAATTAAAAACAAAATTTAAAAACTATATTGCAAAAAATGAAAATACATTGTCTTTGAAGTCTTTCATTCATAGTATTATACCTTTCTTTTATATTTACTACAGCTTGCTAAACTTTTGGTTTTGATGGGCAGAGGATGACTCTGCAAACTAAATAATTTGCAAACTGATGTGTTACCATTTTCTAGTATAGTGTGCAATCTGCTTTATATGTAGTTGCTACCATTCACTATTTTAAGAACACCATGTCTATTCATCATTGTATAGATCATTATGAGGACTAAGATTTGTATAATTAAAAAGATGAAAGTAAGTGGTAGAACTTCCTCCATGGAGAAATGAAACCAAACTGACAACTAGTTTAAGTGACTTAAGTCTGTCAATGTAAACCAAACTGTCAACCTTTTATCTTATCTTTTATAGTAAAATTGCCTTACAGCCAAATTGTTGTGCAACAAAAACGCTTACAGCAAAAATACTGAGAACTCTGCCCCAAGAGATAGGTCCTCTTGTTATGCCTATTTTACAACTAAAGAAAATGAGACTTAGAATTTAAGAAACTTGTCCAAGATCACACACCTGTGGTTGGCAGATTTGAATGGGGGTCTGTCACATTTAAGAAGACATACATACAGCTCTGTAATCATTGATTTATTGGTCTGCAGTCCCCATCCATATACCTTGAATTGAGGGCCTTGAGTGCAGGGGTCATGCCCAATTTGACTACACCCCCAGTTCTAAACACAGTGTCTGGCACATAGAGATGTTCAATGGATGTTGGCTGGGTGAATGAAGGAAGAGGCTAGATCCCCATAAGAAACAACCAGACCACTCAGAATGTACCTCTTTAGGCTCAGCCAGTGGGTCTCCAAGATGGCCAAAAGATGACTCTTAAGATTTTCTTTTTCAGGGACTTTGGCCAGTTGGCCGTGGAGCTCCTGGACCAGTCCTACAAGCAGGATGAACAGCTGGCCATGAAACTGCTGACGTATGAGCTAAAGAACTGGAGCAATGCCACATGCCTGCAGCTCGCTGTGGCTGCCAAGCACCGCGACTTCATCGCACACACGTGCAGCCAAATGTTGCTCACAGACATGTGGATGGGCCGGCTCCGGATGCGCAAAAACTCAGGCCTCAAGGTCAGTGCACCCAGAAGGCCCTCCTGGCTGTGAGCACTAGAGGTTCGGTTGGCGTTTTCCAAACTAAATATGCAGTGGCATTAGGCATTCTCATGTCTCAGGAGGGTGACTCTGAACCCCAGCTGGGCATCAGGATCTTCTGTATAGTAGAGTTTGGGTTTCTTATTTTTCACATAGAGGCTAAGACCTTCCCTAAATTCTGCTAAATCATTAGAGATGGTACCTAGACATTAATATTTTTCAGAAGATCCAAAAGTTTTGGTCACACTCAGGTACCATAGGGGTACCATGTGCTCTGGCCCAAGCTATGCTATATGAGGAGTGCTTACCTGGGCAACCATTCACTGCTGAGGGATACTGAACACCCTGGCCTCCTTTACACCATGTCATAAAGAGACATTGGCTCTTATTCAGCTACAATTGAGAAATTTTTAAAACTGAGATAACAGTGCAAAAGATTTATGTAAAGACAGTGCTAGGTAATCTTGATCCATTCTTAAGTGAAAGAAAACAGGTTGCAGATCAATTTGTTACCTAAGTCCATTTTTTTAAAGTATGTACATGTATAGTTATATCTGTAGAGAATAATTTTTAAAAAAAACAGGAAGGATACACCGTAAATTGTAGTGTTACCCCTAGGGTTGAAGTATAAGAAGGATGATGTGTGGCTTTGCTCTTTTATATTTTCTGAATGTTTTCCAAAGACAACATTCAACTGAAAAAAGTAAAAAAAAAAGTAAAAATGGGAGAGGGAAGATTAAAAGAATGTGCTAAAATAGTTTATCTGTCTAGAGCTTGTGCCTGTTACAAGTGAAACCAGGCTCCTATTCACCTAGAACTACCTGATCTGGGTAACTCTGAGATCAGCCCAAAGCAGAGGGGCCACGAGACCAGAGCAATAGCTGAGGCCACCCTGACTAAACCAGCACTCCCCCGCCCTTGCTGCCCTTCCGTGGGCGCTTGGCCCAGAGTCACAGAAGGTTTCCATGAAGTGGCTCATGGGTGTTTCATAGTTGTGCTGCTGGCGACCGCCAAGCCTGGCTCTCAGCTCCAAGGACAGGGTGTCATGTCCCCTGGACGCTGCCAGCAAGCCACCTGAGCTTTCCCAGCCTGCCAGACACCCTGAGTTCAGGGTCACCGCTCTTTCTTTTCCTTTAGCTGCTCCAAAGTCCCTGTGGGATTTGAGCACAGGCTGTCCCAGACTCATTATTTGAGAATCATTTTTACTTATGCTTTAGGATGCTCCTCGGCCCTGACCTTGGTTCATATTCTGGAGCCTTCTGCAGCAGAACCATTAGGATTGAGGGAAGAGGTGAGAGCTTTAGGGAACACAAGTCAGATGTCAGTATTATCATTCAGAAATGCACTTGTTTACTGGCAAATGGGGAATAAGGTTGCCCTCTTGTGAAAAAGGCCCATGTATTTAGTGTCCTCATATGGACATTTAAGCATGTTGTTTATACATGAGAGAAATTCAGTGCTGGACCCTCCTGGGGTATTTGAACAGGGGCTTGTCATGGTGAATGCAGAGCCCACTTGGGGTAGGCATGGGTGTGTTTCTGTTGGATAGTAGTAAATGGCAGGAGAAAGCTCTAAAATGAATAACGTGCTTTCTTTCATGGACTTTCTCAAGGTCAATTTAGGACAGCATTTTTTAGAGATAACCAGAGGATACAATTAACTCCACTTGACAATTAGCAAATAAATGCCAATTGACATATATATGAATTGATTTCACCAAGTCAAGTGTTATCTCATGGCTAAAAAGGAACCTCAATTCTTTCCCACTTTTGCCTTGAGTAGCTTCTCTCTTTTTCCTCAGTTCCCCCCAATGCAAAATGAGTATTAAGTGGGTAATATATATTTGGGTAAGATGTTTTGTTTCTCCAAAATCAGATTGGACATACCAGTTATAGATATTTTTGCGATGAGCATCATTGCCACAAACATGTTCTCCACAAAACTAATCAGCTATAAGGTGATTCTTCCATAAAAGATAAAATAATTAAAAAATAAAGGGGGGGCATTAAAAAGGACATAATGAAATTCATTTTCATAACAAAATTAAGAAGACTATTGCAAAACACAAAGTATTTCAATTCATTAAAATATGTCTTGATTCATGTCAACACTGCAAATAACCTATTTTATTTTGTGGGTTTGACTTAAGCACTCACACATTTTTTTGCTTGTTGACTTATCTCCTCTTTTGAGCTGAGTTTCTTAACTGTTGCTTTTATTCTTGGCATATTGTCACACGTCTATTGATAGATGTTCCAAAGTCCTATGTGAAATGTGGGTTCAACTCTGCACCTTTGAATCACCAAAAGACTTGCAAACTGATAGATCAGTTACCATATTCTAGTATAGCATGAAATCTGACTTTACACTCCCTTATTTCACTTTTTCAGTAAGTTTTATCACCATATTTTCTATCAAGTCAATATACATAGTTATTCACTATTTTAAGACCACCGCATCTACTCATCACTGTACCATAGACCATCATGAGGGCTAAGGTTTATGTTATATAAAAGTGGGTATAAACTGTCACCCCAAACTGATAACCAGTTATTTTATCTTTTATGGCAAAATTGCCTTATGGCCAATTAGTTTTGTGGTGAAAAGGCTAATGGCAAAGATATTTACGGCAAAGAAGCTTGCAGTTGTTGCATAACAGTTCCCAGGTGGATGGAAATGACTCTCGTAGCATTAACGTGCACGGTTATTCCGATATGCAGGTCCCCACTCGGGGCACATACCACACTCATGCACACATCACACACACCACAGCCCCAGGCCCTCTGATTCTAAGCAACCATTCTAATCTTAACCCTTTAAATGTGATTATTATTATTATCATTATTATTACTTTAGGTAATTCTGGGAATTCTACTTCCTCCTTCAATTCTCAGCTTGGAGTTCAAGAACAAAGACGACATGCCCTATATGACTCAGGCCCAGGAAATCCACCTCCAAGAGAAGGAGCCGGAAGAACCAGAAAAACCCACAAAAGAAAAAGACGAAGAGGATATGGAACTGACCGTAAGAAAGTGCTACTCAGTTATTGCCTACAGGGAGAATCCCTAACCCCCTTGTCCCATCTATCTGGCTTAGGATTCAATAACTCTTGAGGTCAGCCCTTGACCAGGTGCTTTTCATTTGTGCCCTCTTTATGCGCAAATAATATGACTGCAGGAACTAATTCTATGTGACATTCTTCAGCCAGGATCAGTGGTGCCGGACAACCCAATGAAATTCAAAAGCAAGGCACCCTAAATTTTTCAGACAGGCAGTGCTTTCTAAACAACCAGGAGATGTGGCAGCCTGAGCACATGCAGAAGGAGAGGGAGTGGGTGATTTGGGAGCAGCCGGCTTCACTGAGCTGGAACTGTTCTGCTGATCAGAAGCTAAGCCTTTATCTGTCTTCAGGGTCAGACTCACAATGCAGGACTAATTGAATTTTGAGGTTTGTATGGAAGGCTTTTATTAGCTCTTCCTGGTATAATTATAGAGCATGGATGCTTTGTTCTGCAGGGGGAATGGGGCAGCTGGGCATGGGACAGCTTCCCGCAACCCCCACCCGAGCAGCGTGACTGCTGCTGGATTGTATCCAAGGTCTAAAAATATCACATGCTGTTAAAGGGACAAACAAGGCTTCATAGCTTTGGAGACACAAGCAACAACTCCATGGGACCTCCCTGATATTCCCCATCCTCCCCAGCACTCTGACCAATGACTGTGATGGCCCAGAGAAGCTATAAGGGGAAAAAACAAAAATTGGTTTAGCTCAGGTGACAAAAGGTCTTTGCATTATTATCCTAGCAGGACCACTCTGTGAATTGTTTTTCCTCCAAATAAACAATATTTCCTTCCAGTAGGCCCTTTCTAAAGATGTACTTTCAGGCACAATTTCAATCCTACATAGAGCAGAGTATACACATCAGGCCACACTTTTGATTGATTAATCATTCATAGCTATTGACTCACTGAGTTTAAAGCCAAAGTTTACTTTCAGTTCCAATTTATAAAAATTGATGGAATCTCTACTTTTCTCTCTGATGGGGTGACTGTCTTCCCTAAACATCTTACCATAATTTTGACCTCTGCACCCCTTCATGGATAGAAAATATTTTTATTATTAGCAGAAACGTAGTAGCACTACAGGCTCTTTATTGACTACTTCAGCAGAGCGGTAAAGAGTGTGGGCTCTGGATGTAGAATCCTGCCCCATCACCTACCCACTGTGGAACCACAGGCATCGTTTCTTCACCTCTAACACGGGAACAATAATAGTTTATAGGCATATGCAAACTATATAAAAAGTGTACATGCCCACTATGTAGACTGGTGTCTAGCACGTGGTGAGCCTTGATAAACATTTGCTCATATTGTTTTAACAGTACTAAATGCTTCACATGCACTTAATCATGGAATCCTCATAACAGTCCCATGGGTAGGTAATATTATTTATCCTATTTTACAGATGAGAAAACTGAGACTCGGAGAGGTTAAATTGCCCAAGGTTACCAGCTAATTAGTCCTAGAGCTGGCATTAGAACCCAGGCATAGAGGTTCCATTGGCTATGCTTTCAGCTGACAGCTAAGGGATGCTAATTTTTTTTTTCCCTAGTCTCAAATGTAGGAACTCAGCTGGTTTGGTCCACCATGTAGCAGAGAGAATCCAAAAGTGATACATGGGACTCCTATGTCAAGTATGTTGTGACCTTGACATTGGTATACTTCCTATGAAGGCTCAAGGAAGGATTTTAGGAAGGTTGCCAGAAGCTGAAGGCAGTGTTCTTTCTGGTTTGGGTTTTAAGAAAGAAAACAAAGAAGGCAGTTCCTTCTCCAGGTCAGTCTACAACTTTAAGGAGTGATCCTTCAAGAAGCCACAGTAAAGATGCATTTCTGGACTGACAGCAAAGCCTGCTTCCCAGAAAATAGACTCCATAGTTATTCATTGAGAACCCAAGTAGCAGACACCAAAATAGCTCTTCTACTACTGACCTTCTTCCCCCCAGGTTACAACTGCAAGGGGAAGGAAAGGAAGGGAGGGGCTTGTCGGCTGGGAAACTCCTGCTGAACCGCAGTTGTCCTTAAGGTGGAGCTTCCCTTGACCCTAATGACAAATATTGTCACTACTCAAACCCTGATACTGGCTCACCATGGACAGGAATGGAGAATGCAGCTTTTTTGTAAGATTATTTGAGCTTCACTATTTCCTCCCTTGGAATGGGACATTTTCTCTTGGCCTTCCTAGCAGCCTCAATTTGCTTCATTTTAGTAGAATTTAATAGCTTAGTTCAGATGACATCTGTGTTCAGGCAGCAAAGATTTTTTTCAAATTTATATTGCGCAGTTTTGTCTACATTTGACCCTGTTACATTCTACTTTAAGGAATATAAGCAAAAGAAACGCTTGACTGCTGGGGAAAGAAATCAACAAAATCAGCAACTTAAGCTGCTTAGGCTGGAATTAATAACATAACAAAAATGCTTTAGTAAACCCATGAAAGACAAACAGTTTAAAAATGCATTCACTTTGGAATATATCTGAATAACAGAGGCAAAACAGGTGGTTCTATTTTTGTTATTGTTGCATTGTCATATAAATGTCTTGCATTTTGCCTAATGAAGTCCCTACATGTCCACAGACCTAGGACACTGTTATGACTCTGTTGGGAAAGCCACTGTCCCTAGAGGTTACCGGAAGATACCCCTTTCCCAGATGCCTAAACCCTCTAAGCTACCTTTACTGTCATCTCATTGTGTCCCCAAACAGCATCATGTTGTTGAGCATATAAATAAGCAAACAGAAGGAGGATAAGTTGTTTATGCTACATAAAGTATAAATTATAGAGGGACAAATATATAACCTCACAGTTTCTTAAAGTCAATGATCAATAGTTTATTGATTTCTTGTTTGCTATATCCATCACAAAAATTGATTCAACTTACTAATCAAAATCAACATCTAAATAGGCCATAGAATAGAATGTTACCTAATTCATCAACTCCAAGTACTTTTCTAGCTGAAGGGTTCATAAAAAAAATGGAAGTTACCTTCTCCAGAAGTCCTACTGGTTACAGGTAAATCATTTGTGACTGTTATTTAGGTGAGTAAAGTGCATATTTGAGGCAATGACAAAAACAGTCGGAACTAATATTCTGTATTATATGTAAGGTGGTTTGAAACCAGGATTATCTAGTCACTAGTGGTCTAGTGGTTGAGGACTAGTGGTCTACATCCTCAACTTCAAGATAACCTTAAATTATTTCTATAATTAAATCTCTTAACTCCAAACCTGTATTCCCAGTGCTTTTTCTTGTCCCAAATCTTTATCAGTCTCCAAGCAGTTAAAAGGTTTTACCATATTCTCATATTTAATGAAAAATTTATTTCCCAAACATTGTAGAACTAACCTGGTCCCAGAATGATATTGAAAAAATTAAAGCCAAGAAATTATACTGTAACAGACACCTAATAACATAACTCTCTGGTGAGACATACCAACTACATCATTCCAGTCAACAGTATTTGAGAGTTTCGGATCACTTCAAAGACTAGCTATTGTAACGCTCACTGAGCACTTAATAAGCACCAGAGTTGTTGATTGTAGACCAGCTTTCTGGCAGGCACTGATATTACCCTCATTCTACAGACAAAGAAACTAAGTCTCTGAGAAGGTAAAAGACTTGTCTAAGGTGTAATGAATTCTTAGTATCCAAGGGACTCGATCCTCCTTCTGAGCGACCCGAAGCCTGGAACTCTTCCCTGTTCGGATCTTGGCCGTCTTCAGGGCATCCTGTCACTTCCCATCCAGGCAGAATGTCTCTATTTCTTCTCAAATTCTTCCCTCTCTACAGTGTGCAATCATTATTGTTGTTGTTGCTGCTGCTATTGTCATGAATGAAAAAGAAATAATTCCATTCTCAAGGAAATCTCCAGAAGCTTGAGATGAAGGCTTCTCCTAGCCTCGCCTGGCTGACTCTGTCATGTAGAGGAAGACAGTGTGCCCAGGAGTTGCCATGAAATGATCACCAGCAGTAATTTGGGTTCTACAGTGATTGAAATCAGGGAACAAAGGCTTATGCCAAAGGGTTGGGGAGATGATTCTAACTGAACTAAGCTCCAGGCTCTTCAATAACGAACCTCTTGAATACCCATAACCTTTGAATAAATTAGGTATTAGTGGTCCAATTTACCTTTGACTTAAGAGTCACTAGCATGAGTGAAGACATAATTTGAACCCAGGTCTGCCTGTTTCATGATATACATGGGGAGAGTCGAGTTGGGAGAAAAGACAGATTCATGGCCTTTCCGGGCAACACTCTTTCTCCCTCTCAGAATTCTGGGTGTCTTCTATCACTTTCGTCTTCCAGAGGCCCTCAGGGTGGAAGAGATGAGAATAATCAAGAAATAGCCCTAAGGGCTTCTACCCAAAGCAAAGGTACACAGATTCTATGTAAAATGCAAATGCACAGGGAGGGCACAATCTCTAAATCAATCTCTGTGGGCTTTGGACAAAGCATTAAGGTTCTATGAGCATGTTTTCCTCCTCTGTAAATGAACACATTGAACCCCATGATCTTCAGAGCCCTGCTTTGATGGTTTTAATTCTCCTTCACTCTAGGCAATGCTGGGACGGAACAATGGAGAATCTTCCAGGAAAAAGGATGAAGAAGAAGTTCAGAGCAGGCATCGGTTAATCCCTTTGGGCAGAAAAATCTATGAATTTTACAATGCGCCCATCGTGAAGTTCTGGTTCTACACTGTAAGTATCATCCTTCCCTAAAGGATGGCCTCAAAGAGCCAATGTCAATTTCTCATGCACCTGCGTGGTATCCTACGTGAGTCATAATTTAAGGACCACACGGGCAGAAACAAAAGCTCTACAGCGGCCTCGCTTTTTCCAGTAGCTTAGAAGGATTTGTGGAGTGTGTGAGGTTGCTTCCATTGCTTCTACATTTCTCCTTCTCACAGAAAATAAAGGAAATAGTCAAAGTGAGAATTAACAGAAATAGAGGTGAGATGAGTAAGCAGGAAAATAGATGTCATTTTATAAAACACTTCCCTGTTCTGGACAGATGAATGCTGGATCAGAGTTGCCTGTTTTAGATGCTGGTGCTGGGTTCACGGGCACATTGGTAGGTACGAGCTGAGCAGAGCGTTAGCAGTAACACTACTAAAGATGGGTAGTGTTAGCGTGTTATTTCTCCCCATCTAGTAGTGCCATTGAACAACCTTTCTTGCCCTGACACAGTTAACATGCAAACAAAGCAGCGAAAACTACTCAAAGCAAAATACAATCATGGCAAATATTTTTCAGTTAAGCACACCCTGCAAACATTTCCAGCCCACAAGATGAAAGATTGTCCCTGAAATAGCCTCCTGGTGTGGTAGAAATAGCTCGACTGTTGGGTTTCTACTTCTGCTTTTCAATGATGTTTTAAGTTTAAGGTGAGCTGCGGCCCAGGCCATCTCTGCTTTTCTTCAGACACAGTGGAGCTGCGCCCGCTGAAGGACGGTGCATATAGCCCTTTGGCCTTTCTCGCAACCAGCTACACACCAGTCACTTGAGTCAGCAACAGGATTATCTGAGTTTGAGGCAGCAGTGACTCAAATGCCCAGATGAAGGGCTGTGTGTGTGGTCCTCTATGTAACACTGAATACCGGCTTTAAACAAGGCTTTCCCAGCACTATGGACATTTTGGGCAGAGTAATTCTTTGTTAAGGAGGCCTGTCCTGTGCATTGTAGCAGCACATTTAGCAGCATCCCTGACCCCTCTCCACTAGATGCCAGTAGCACTCTTCAGGACCCAATTATGACAACCAAAAACATCTCCAGACATTGCCCGATGTCCGCTTGTCGGTAAAATTGCCACCAGTTGAAAACCACTGCTTTAAAGTATGGTCTTGAGAAAGGAAGAGATATTATCAAAATATAAAGGTTAGATTTTTTTAGGGAAGTCAAACTTAAGTTTATTAATGTTAAAAAAAATTCTCCCTCATTTGACCCAGAAGTCCCACTTCTGGAAATACATCCTAAGAATCGTGAAATACCAATCAGAAAGAATTTATGCACCTCTATGTTCATAGCAGCATTATTTACAATAGCCAAGATCTGGAAACAGCCCAAATGTCCATCAGTAGATGAGTGGTTAAAAAGATGTGGTACATTTATACCATGGAATACCATGCAGCTATTAAAAAGAAGGAACTCTTACACTTTGCAACAGCATGAATGGACCTGGAGATTATTATGCTAAGTGACATAAGCCAGTCAGAGAAAGACAAGTACCACAAATACCATATGATTTCACTCATAAGTAGAATCTAATGAATGAACAAAATAGAACCAGAAACATGGATATGTGGAACATACTGACCTATCTCAGATGGGAGAGAGTAAGGGGGTCTGGAAGAGATTAGCCAAAAAACATATATGCATATAGGAATAGCCCATGGACACAGACAACAATGTAGTGGGAGGCCGGGTGTGGGGAGCAGGGGCCGGGTGGTGGGGAGCAGAGATGGGAAAATGGGCAACGTCTGCAACAGTGTCAACAATAAAGACATTTTCCCTCAGAAAAGAATAATGAAGGCATGCAAAAATTATTTCTATTCATATGTTGTATACAGCTATATATTATTTTTACCTTGCAGAAAACAGCTTAGTAGTGACAAGCATGGACTTTGGAGTCAGACGGCCTGAGTGGAAATCCTGTCTATATCTCTTAGGAAAGTAACTTGTAACTTCAAGCAAGATTTCCTAGCACTCTGTCCCCACTTTTCTTAAGACAGGGATAATAACAGTACCTACTGTAAAAGATTTAGTAAAGATTAAATGTCTTAAAATGTGTAAAGCACTAAGAACAGTGCCTGCAAGCACGATATAAATGTAACTTGTTACTGCTCGGCTAGTTCCATTGCAGAGCAATAGTTAGTGTTTTATTCATCCATCTACTCAACAATAATAAACTATCATTATCAAATGCTTACTATGAGTATGTTCTAGGTGCTCATATATACTCTCCCTAATCTAAGAGTTCAATCAATGCAATGTTTTTACTGCATTTTATACTCCAGTCTGTACTTCCTCTTATGCGAGGGCTGCCCCACGTGTCTCACCTATAGCAGGGCTTGGCATAAATGAGGACCCATGGGCCCATCCAGCCACTGCCTGTTATTAAGGCCTGGGAGCTAAGAATGGACTTACATTTTTAAAGAGTTAAAATAAAATCAAAGGAAGCATACTTTGTGACACATAAAAATTATATGAAATTTACATTATATGAAAGTTTTATTAGAACAAAGCCAGATTCACTCTTACCTGTACTCTGGCTGCTTTTATGCTACAGCTCTGGAGTGGATCACTTGCATTGGAGCCCATCATGCCAACAAAGCCTTAAAAATGAACCATCTGGTCCTTTACAAAATACGTGTGCAGGTGTGACAGTAAGATCATAAAACAACACAGTAGAAAAATTATCTACCACCTTTATGAAAAGTACTCCCTTCTCTTATCCTTCCAAGGCATTTCTCTTTTTCTCTTGATCTGTGTTCAGTGTCCATATTATTTCCTTGATTACTCTGGTCCTCATTTTTTCAGCTGAGGCAAGTTGTTAGCCCAGAAGGTTTTTAATCACAAATGCCCTAGCCAATGGTTCTCAGCCCTGGCTACACATTGACAAAATTCTGATGTCATTGGTATGGGGCACAGCCTGGGCATTAGGATCTTTCAAAGCTCACAGGCGGTTGTAATGAGCAGCCAGAATGGACACCAGCTAGCCCAGAGGAGGGCTGTTTAGCCCTGTGTTTCCCAGACTTCCATAATGACAAGGGGTTTTGGTTAAAAGGCAAATTCCTGGCCCCATCACAGATCCATCAGGCCCCATCAGGCTCAGAGGAGCCTGAGAAGCTGTGTGCTTAACAAGCTTCCCAGGTGAGCGCTGTGGCCCAGGAAGCCTGGGACACACCATTCCCCTTGAGAAGCTGCCTCTCTGAGAAGTCAGGCATGTGTATCCACTCCCTTCTTCATGGAGGGCTGGATTAGCCTCAGGAAACCCATCAGACTGGATGCTCCAGTCATGTTCGACGGTGTTTACAAGGTTTTCAGAAATCCATATTTAGGTATTGACGAAGCCCAGCCTCAAGGAAGTAAATAGAGATGTGGAGTGCCAAACTTTTAAATCTCCAGAGATGAAGCACCATAAAAGTCAGCTTTAGGTCAAAGGTGCCATTTGTTTTTGGCTGCATCCTTTTCTGTTAGAGTGTTTCCCTCTCTTATTTCCAAAAGTATCCCCTTCTACACTCTCAAGGTTCTGAAAGCAGGACACACCTTGTTTACACATAACCTCACTTCTATGTCATAGCAAGTTTCCAGAGGAGCAGGCGGGGTCCTCTTCTATTCCAAGAGGAAAGAAGGCAGGGATACAACTGACTCCCAGGCCACGTTTGTGAAGGGGCCTGGTTTCAAGGACCCAGCTGGTGAGTATGCACATTCAGGGTGTGAAGTGGCAGAGGGCAGGGCGTGTGCTCTGCTCAGCAGGGACAGACTCCTTCCTCCACTAACACCATGCGGCCCCCTCCACTCTCTAGGGTCAGTAGGAAAAGGAGGAAAGGGATGACACAGCCCCACCAGGGATCCACAAGCAACTGTAGGCTTGGGTGCTTGCACTTCATAGTTTAAGAGTCAGGCATCTTGATTAATGGAAAATTTATAAAAAGAATATAAGCATATAAAATACAAATTCTTACAAGACACCCACTGACTTAAATAAGAATCATAAGGTTCTATTTCTTTTCAAAGCTTTGACACTCTACATCCAGCTTGTTAAAGCTCACAGAATATATGTGTTTGAATGCGCGCGCACACACACACACACCATTAAAGCGCATCACGTTAAAGTGATCTGCAGCCAAGCCCCATGAATGTTGGCAAGTTCTAAGGTAGGTTGCTTCCAACACAGCACCTACTCTTCTGTTGCTCCTTTTAAACATGTTTAAAGCCCTATTTGTGGAAGTCCATATTTTGAAAGTTGTCCGAAAATTATTTTATTATATTAATCTCAATTATGGGGAGAAAAGCATTGTAGGGTAACTGTGATTTCAAGAACAGGCAGGAGTTAAAGAATAATCATGGAAGAGGCAAAAACAATGAGGGCAATTTGTACAAGATAAAAAGGAGAGCTATAAATAGTTAATGGGATCGAAAGGAAGCACAGCTGAGGTAAGAGAAGACAAGATGAATAAAAGTTTCTTAACAAAAAAGGCAAATAATATCATTAGCCACCATTCACTGGACCTCTACAGTGTCAGGAGAGAAATACATATCCCCTCACCGACACCCCAATCCTTCCCAAAGCGCTGGAAGGTCAGTAGCGATCACCTCCATTTTACAGAATGGAGGTCCAGGCAGGTGCAGTGAAATACACAAAATGATTCAGCCAGCAGGCACATGAGATAGGATTTAAATCCAAGTTCCTTTCACCAAATACTATTTCTTCCACCAAACAAATATGCCAGACCTGTGTTAAAAGGACAGAGAAAGGTTGGAAGAGTTACAGGCACACCTTGCTTTGGTACGCTTAGCTTTATTGTGCTGCACAGATGCTGTGTCTTTTAAAAATTGGAGGCAAGACCCCTCCCCCAGCAAAAAGATTAGGACTCGCTTTATTGTGATCCTCACTTTCTTGCAGCGGCCTGGCACTGAACCATAGGCCTGCACTAAAATACAGAGGTTCTGAAAGTGTGTGTGTGTGTGTATCACTGGGCCTACAGGTGACAAAAGAGGATAATGCTTTGGGATGTTTCACAATGAACTGGGTAAAATGATAAAAAGCTGGACAGTTAACAAGATTCCTTTCATCTAGAAGCAATAGAATGTGATTCAACAAAGAGAAAGAAACAACCAGAAAGGGAGAAGGATTCCAAGTCAGAAGGCAGCTGAGAGTGTATTTGAGAGTTTAACCACTGAAGTTCTTTCTTTGTGTTTTGTAAAATACCATATGCGCAAGGACCATATGGTGAATGCCAGTGTATAATGGTAAACACCAACCATAAGAACTAAATTCCATTTTAAACGGCATCCTATGTGATTTCATGTACAGGAGACTCTTCAGGGGAGATTTTTCACAATGTGCTAATGATCCTGAAGGGGAGGAGCAGGAACTGAGGCCTGGATTAAAATACCAGTCCCTGAGGGGGCGGGTGTGCCAGAGCAAACCTCTCAGGCGGAGAGCGGGAAGCAGGGAGCACGCCCTGTGGGCCCTCCAGCATCTGCGTAACCGCCCTCCTGCCTCTCTCTGTGATCTCCTGAACTCTGACTTAAAGCTCCGACCTTGGACTCACATTAACAATCTATGCATTTACAGAAGAAGGAAGGAAGGAAGGGAGGAAGGGAGGGAGGGAGGGAGGGAGGGTGGGGAGGGTGGGGAGGGAGGGGATGAAAGAGACAGAGAAAGGGAAAGAAAGAAAGGGTGATCCCGTTAGTGGAGAAAGTGGCACTTCCCTAGCCCTGCAGGCTGCCGGTTCCCCTCTGCCTCCCCCAGCCACAGCCACAGGGCACCCTGCTCCACCCTCTAAGCTGCCCACAGGTGTGTCTCCAGAGCCCTCAAGGCCTTGATCCTCTGCCAGCTCTGTGTCTTATTTGCTATGCTGACTCCAAAGAGCACAGAAGATTTGAATAAACTCACTCTTAGTTCCTACTCACAGTGTCTAAGGTTCCTAAAGCCAGCTAGTGCCTTACTCAACTTGAAGCATTGCCCAGAAAAGGTTTAATTTATATGCCATTTTCCCTAGGTGAATTTTTCCTCCAGAGGCTCCTCGGCCCTTTTTGCAAGAACCTCACCGGCCCTCCTACACTCCATTCCTCTTAGGTGTCACTGAATCCTTGGGTGGCAGTGACGAAACCTGAACCCCGAGTTTTCCAGAGGCACCCAGCAAGTTCTTCAGTCAGTTCCAATGGGGTTCAACCTCTGGGGCTAGAGTTTTATAAGGATTAAACTCCACTCCAAGCTATAGCCGGCCACCCACAATGGCCACAAAGTCAGCCATTTCTTTCTATAGATTGCTCTGTTTTCCCTTGTTTTGTTTCAAAGAAGCGGAAACCAGGAAGGACTGCTCCACCTTGACTAGGGGAGCATGGTGGTGCAATGGGAAATAGGTGAGACCCTGCCAGGGCACTGTCAGGCCAAGCATATTAAGGTAGGAGAGGAAAAAAAGACATTAACTCAGAAGAGAATTAAAATGGGGCTTCTGGATAAAGCCCGGGCTATTTTTATGTTCGTTTAACCAATTTATAAGTATAGCAAGCGTCTTCTTTTCTTTCTTACTGACATTTAATCCACCTGGCACTCATTAGGCAAAAATGCTCTGTGCTGCCCTAGTTCAAGAACGTGAGGCTCCTGCATGAGCAACAGCAGCCCCTGCAGGAAGAGGTTCCCTCTTTTGCCAGGAAGACATGAGAGACTTGGATAATTGCAAAACAAAAGGATACATCATGACACATAAGTACAAGCAAAGCACTGGGACCTAGAGACAAGTATAAGAGTCAAAAGGGAAATTGCATATCAAGTTATTTCAAATATTGCAGTCTTTTTATATCCTTTTTTATATCCTTTTGCTAGTTTAGCGCTTTGGAGTTCATTTCGTAGTGAGTTCCGGGTTCTGCTTGCTGACCTTGTTTGAGTCCTGCCATGCGGTGGCCTTGCCCAAGGGCAGGCCTCCCGGGGATTTGCAGCCAGAGCACTGTATTGTGTTTCCTTACAGCTGGCGTATATCGGATACCTGATGCTCTTCAACTATATCGTGTTAGTGAAGATGGAGCGCTGGCCTTCCACCCAGGAATGGATCGTCATTTCCTACATTTTCACCCTGGGGATAGAAAAGATGAGAGAGGTAACTAATTTCATAAAAGAGAACTAAAGAGAAAGTCAGTGGCTACCTAATTTGTGCATGGAGGGAGGCATGGGACCCTCCAGATCCACCCTGATCCAGAACATTAGTGGACATGCTCTCTAATGCCACCACAGAAATGTGTCCTTGGCCTTGAGGGCTGCTGACAAACCTGGAGAGGCCTCCCAGTGTGTGTATAGGGTCGTCGCTCCATGAGTGCTTGGGATTTAGTCCATTTTCTGCTAATATAGCTCTCACCCCAAGACACCTTCAAGTTGTTTATAAAACACTGTTTACAATGTTTCACTCATCCCTAGAAACATGACTTTATGTTTTTCCACTTTTTTTTCATCTTTAAATTTTTCCACTTTTAACTCCCTTTAAAAACCCATCACTCTGGGTCTCTTTGGACAGGGTCCACCAATACCTATGATTCTCCAAGTGCATTTCAGCAGCTCTAAGAGGAGCTATGCTTTCATTCGTTCTCTGGTTCATTCCTTTTTAATATATATTATGCACTGACTGGGTACCAGCCTTTCCAATAGCCCTGGGCATCACCGGGATGAATTGAGCATATTTCTCACCCTTTAGGTTGAGAGTGTGAGTCCCTCTCTTCTCCCCCACCCCCATCGAGTAAAAGCCCTCATAACACCACCCCAACAGGACACTTGAAGTCAGTATTAGACTCAGGCCATCAGATTCAGAGCCACTGAAATGGATGTAGTTAAGCAACTGTCCGCCAGAGGGCTCTGCCACCATGCTGAACGCACTCCACAAACCCATTCCCAAACTGCAAGGGAGGCAGACTTGTGCGGTATGATGATTCCTCTGCATTCCCCGCCCCCCCGCCGCCGCCCCCACCACCCCCCGAAACTACCATCTGCAACAGAGGTCTTCTCTGGAAGAACTGTTCCCTGTCAAGTCTACTGCACCCATCTAGAGCTCCTGAACAATCCTACTCTCTCTACTATAATGAGTGGGAAAATAATATTGGACTCCAAGAAAAAAGGATTCCTACAAATCCACAAATTCACCCATGTCTTTGTTACTAAAACAGGTTAAAAAGCCCTTACTATCTTAGGTTTTAGCTCTAGAATCTTCTCCTTTACAAAGATGCAGTATCTGTTAGACACCTTTGTATGTATGCAAACAGACTTTATTCTTGTATTATTTGTTAATATTATATTATTTTCCAAATGAACAACTGTAAACCTACTTTTGCCACACACACTCCATCTATATATTTCGAGCCCTTTCTCTTGGGCTTTTGAATTGCTTTGGGGTTATTTAAATTCTAACCAGCATGCCCCCATCCTGAAAGTCTGGCTGTGGGTAAACTACTCCCATTTTATAAGGGACTAGATTTATTTAAAAACAAAAAAGGGGCCTTGCCTTCTTGCCTTGTTCTAACCAGCTGATAGCGCCTTCTACTTCCTGGCCAGTTGTGGATTTCCCATTTGTAAACTGAAAACAGTCATAAATTTGCTTTGGTCTTTATACAGCTCTCTGAGAACTGAGGCCTGCCCCTGTGAAGGACTCTGTTGCTGTGAAGCGTCAGCTCCCTCTCTGGTGATTTAACGCCCAGATGCATATTTTGTCCCCACGATAAGCAGAAAAGGGAAAGACTTGAGCAGAGAGATTGGAATCTCTCCAGGGACTAGACTGGAAGAAGACAGGGAGCAGTCTGTACTCCACAGACTGTTCTGGAAGAGGCTGCCAAGCAGGCGGTCTGCCAGGAACCTCAAGGCCTGGATATCCATTTCTCCTGAGGTAGCATGTAATAGCAGAGAGGGCTTAGAGGCTGGGGTCAGCAGGGAGTCAGCGGAAGAGTCCTCGCTTCTGAGGAAGCTGTGAGGAGGGAGGCGCTGACCTCTTTAGCGTCTGACCTTTTCCTCCTCAGCCTGGGGAGGCAGCTCCCTCACCTCTCCCCGCCCCTGCCCCACCCCATGGCCCTGAAGCCATTAAAGAAATGCTCGACTGCCAAGGGAGTGGAGACCCCACAGGTCCCACCTTCGTGCATCCTCACAGTCAGCATGCAGGCCCCCAAGTTCTCAGACCCAAGCTCCTGGAAGCATGGAAAAGTTTGTAGGCTCCTGAGGAGGGATATTGTGGTTTCGCATGCTGCCCTCCCATTCCCAGAACCACATACTTCTGCGTGTAGTCACCAAAACAAGCCGCGGTAATCCCTTAATAGCACGGAACAGTTTACGACGTGCATCGGTAGACATTCTCTCACTTGGGCCTTCCTCCCCATGACTCTGTGAGGTAAATGCTGTGGCTCTTATGACCTCCCAGCTTTGCTAATGTGGGAAGTAATCCTCACTGTTTGAGCTCTTTTTCTGTATCCCACAGCCAGAAAGGGGAACTGGGTCTTAAAACTAACTGGTCCCTCTCTAGGTAGTTCTTTTCACTTACACAGTGGGTTACAAACTGGGATGCTCATCAGAGCCCCAGGGCCCTAAGAGGTGCCCAGAGCTAGTGGGAAGAGTGAAAGGAGCGGGGGTGGGGGCTCGACTTTTCACGCCAGCTTCACCTCCAGCCCGTTAGCTTTTAACTCTTTTTTTATGTTGAGATTTCACAAGCATATTTTCACTATTGAAAAAATTATACTTTAAACCTCTGTGTTTTAACAGTTTTAGGAAAGCGTGAGCAAGGGGTTAGAGAACCTCTAAGGCACCCGAGCCCTAGGCCCCACATGTGCGCACAGATTTTTGCCTAGTCAGGAAGGAGCTGGGGCCCCAGCAGCTGCAGGAATTCCTGATCGAAGGGGCAGTGGTTCTTACTCTGGGGTCACAGCTTGACCTGGGAATTGGCTAGAAAGGTAAATCCTCGAGCCTACACCAGGCAAGCTAAGGCAGAAACTCCAGGGGTGGGGCCCAGCCCTCTGTGGTTTACTGGCCTCCCAGGGGAGTCTAACGCATGCTAAGGGCTAAGGAGACCTGGCTTAGGAAAGAGGCCACCAGGCATCTCCTGGTTTCTTGCTCAGCCTGCCAAGCCCTAGCCCTGACTTACTAAGACCTCCCTTCTTTATTGTTTCGAGACAAAGTAAGTCGAAAGGGTGATATGCCAATTCAAACAAATAGCCACAAATTAAGACTGTCCCCAGTCTTTTCTCTCTCCTTCGAGAGGTCCTGGATTGGGAAGGGAGTGGGTCATAGCTCAAAGAAAGGAAGTCCTGGCGATAAATGCAAATGATTCATGCAAGCAGCCCTGCTACATAGCCTCAGCAGGCAGGCTTCCCTGGCTCCTTAGGTCCTGGGAGAGGCTGTGGTACTGGATGGCTGGCAACTCTGCTATGTAATTGTGCATTCCATAGAGTGTGTGTGAGCAAAAAGGCACCTCTGGGTTAAGGTAAGTCAGAGCCCCACCCAGCAGCTAAGGGACTGGAGAATTGCTGTGACATGTCTATTCAACAATCAGTCAGTCAACAAATATTTATTGAGTATTACGTGACAGGCTCTGGGGAACACAGGGTCTGCCCTCCTAGTTCACAGTCTAGTGAACAGAGATGATAAATACAGAGATAGGTAGGCAGGTAGGTAGGTAGACAGACAGATAGGCAGACAAACACATAGACACGCACATACGATGCAAGCATACAGAAGTTAATTTCATATAATGATAAAAAATCTTCAAAAAATTAAACAGGGTAATATATTACAGAGTGACTTGGACTGTGGAGACTCCTGCAGGTAGGGTACCCAAGGAAGGTCTTCCTAAGAAGGAGAAATGTGAATAGAAACTTTGCATATGAGGAGAAGCCAAACATGTAAAAACCTGGGAGAAAAAAATGCCCAACAGAAGGAACAAGTGCAAATGTTCTGAGTATAGGATGGACTTACCATACTTATGAACAGACCACCATGGCTTTTGGGGCAGGGGGGCAGACAATGGGGACAATATGGTGGGACATCAAATGAGGCCATGATAAGGAGTGTGGATCTTCTCTATTTGTAATAAAGCTATCAGAAGATTGACGCATTCAACTACCATCATTTGCTTTGGTTTTTATTGTTCTTGTTCATATATCTCTGAAGTCACTCTCTTTTTAAAATTGAGTTATAATTTACTTGTAAGGAAATAAACAGCTCATAAGGGTACAGTTTGATGAGTTTTTATCTACTCATACAACGGGGTACTCACCCCCCAGAGCATGGCTTAAGGACTCTGTGTGCTGCTCCGAGAGTGGCTGGGGGCAGAGCAGGCCACAGTGGCAGCTGGGATACCAGTTAGAAGGATGTTGCCATTGCCTGGGACATGCGATGGGGCTTAGACTATAGCGGCAGCAGCAGAGGTGGTGAGAAGTGGTAGAATTAGGTTGTATTTAGAAATAGAGGGGATAGGACATGTTGATGCAGAGGATCTGGGTGTGAAAGGGAAGAATAAAGGAGTCTTCCCAAGTTAGCGGTCTGAGTAACTCAAGATGTGGTGCTGTTTACTGAATTGGAGGGGGATTTCAGAGATTTACAGGGTATTAGGAATCAATAATTTTATAGCAAAGCCCTAATTTGTGTCTTAGAATTTATAAGGCAACTTGAAAGCTCAAACTTATTACTTATATCTGCCTCTGGAATATTTGCATCTCGGTGGCCCACACTTTGCTCAGTTGTACATCAATAGCATGCAAGTATTCAAGCAGACACAGACAAACAAAACAAGCTACAGATGTCAACTAACAGTCCAAGCACTCTCCGACTTTGGCAAAGTTCTTTGGCAAAGAATATAGACGGAAATCCTAACTAACGCCCCTCTCTTTCCTGCCTTTTAGATTCTGATGTCAGAGCCAGGGAAGTTACTGCAGAAAGTGAAGGTATGGCTGCAAGAATACTGGAATGTCACCGACCTCATAGCCATCCTTCTGTTCTCTGTTGGGATGATCCTTCGTCTCCAAGACCAGCCCTTCAGGAGTGATGGGAGGGTCATCTATTGTGTGAACATCATTTATTGGTACATCCGCCTATTAGACATCTTCGGCGTGAACAAGTACTTGGGCCCATATGTAATGATGATTGGGAAAATGGTAAGCAGGGTGCTCTGATGTCATGTGATAAATTCTCAGAGGAGGAGTGGTAATAATAGGAGGAGAGAAATAACTCATTTGGGTCTGCTAGCGAGGTCTAACTGAGATGGCCCTGGGAGTGTTTTATTTTTTTAATTCCTTTTGAATGTTCTGAAGTTTGACTACCTCTCTATATATAATTTGGCAATTAGCCATCACTCATCCATTTACTTACTAAAAATATATATAAAAATCATATACTTTGTGCCAAGCACTGGATTAGGAGTTGGGTATATAAAGGTGCTCATTCCAAAAGACTGTAGATGAGAGAAAGAGAAACAATTATACAGCAAGAGAATGCAGTAACAGATATGTATATAGAGTACAATAGGAACAGAGAAAAGAGAAAGTAGGTCAGGGAAGGTTTCACATGGAGGACATATTTTTGATGGATCTTGGAGAAGTCTCCACTCCAAATATTTAACAGATTTTTAACATTGCTTTTTTAAAATGAAGTGCTAGGAAAATGCCTTTCTCTACACAAAGGAGAGAGAAACATAGTTTACTTGAATCCAGTAGTTAGGTTGTGCTTGAATTAAGTTCTATCAATATATCATGCATTTTGTTACACTACTAAAAAATGATGTCTATTAAAAACTAGGTTCCAGAATGGTGCCCTACTTGTCTTATTCTTTAAAAAGGAATCCCAAGTGACAAATTAATATGCTCCCCCACATGGCTGTGGACTTGCTCCAATAGCCCTTGACCACTCTCGTTTCCAGGCTTCCTCCATAAGAACTGGGCCCTTGGAGACAGCACTAGTGGGAACCAGGGAGCACCCACATAAATCAGCTCCCTCTCCAAACTCACCACAGGAAGAATCAGGGTCTGGACTGCTCTTTTTGGATCAATTCTTCCACTTTTATAAGTGTATTCTCTACTTCACCATTATAGGATATTTGTGGGAAAATCAAGTAATCTGTCTGACAATGGCAAACACCTCTTATTGAAAAAACCTCTTTGGTAATAACTTCTACTCGACTTCCATCTGAAACCAATAATTTGTCAATAGATGTTCTTTATCATTCTCCCTCAAGTTTTACTATACGTTATTGCTGCTTACCTTTCAGTCAACAAATCAATATTTATTACATGTGCATGTGTGCGACTCTGCTAAAATGAGTCTTGAAAGACCAAGACTCTTCTTACAAAAGCACTGGCAAACTTGTGCAAAGAGAGGGAGAGCTTGAATCCAAAAAGAGAGGGTTATGAGACCTTTAGCAATTCATTTAACCTCTTTGAAACTCAGTTTACTAATTTTTTAAGTAGTTACAACAAATCCATATCTTGTAAGGATGTTGTGACGATTAGAAATGACACGTGTTAAATAGCCAATAGTTTATGGCTTTTTAAGTAGGTAGTTAACAAATTGTACCTGTTATTATGCCCATATCGTGTTTGTTAAAATGTAATGAAAAGGGGAGAAATTGGTGAGCATAGTTATTCTGCTCTATTCCTAATGCTTTTGTACAAAAGCTTGACATTTATATTGCCAGCATTGTTTGGGGAAAATATCCCAACCTATTCTAGAGAAGAAAAACTTAAATTCAACAAGCTTGAGTTAGACCAAATCCCAAAGCCAAATCCCAGTTCAGCTGGGGATTTTGGACTAGGAAAAAAGTCATCTTACTCTATTATACTGCCTGCAATACAGCCTTCTTTGGACTCTAGTAATAAATTTGAGATTGTGGTGAAAATTCCTATCTCTAAAAGCAGAGAGTCTCAATTTAGAGTCTGTGGAAGACATTTAAAAGACAGGATCTGTAATCCCTCCACCCAGATTATGTATAAAAATGTGCGGGTATGTGAACTTTCTGAACAGGAAGGAGAAGCTTCCATGAGATTCTCAAATGGACACAAAGAAAGTGAAGAACTGTAGCAGCTGCAAAATTAGGATAAGTTTTCTCAATCTTTACACTATTGATATTTTGGACAAGAAAATTCATTGTTCTGGGGGGCTGTCCTGTGCATTGTAGGATGCTTGTCAGCATCTTCTACCCACTAGATGCCAGTAGTATGTACACAAACACACACAAAATAAAAATGTCTCCAGATATCGCCATATGTTCCAGGATAGGGGTAGGAGGGTGTAAAATTGCCCTCTGTTGAGAATCACTACATTGGGTGGTTACATAATCTGATTGGTTGTTTTATTCTACTTGATTGTTACTTTATTTTATTTCAATCAATAAAACCTGAGAAGACCCATACAAACCAAATACATTACTTTTAAAAAGATTGGGTGGCATTTAAATAGTTGAAATATCTAAAGTCAAATTAAAGCAGCAAGATTACTTTAAAATCCACATCTATCATTTTAATAATGGCATAATTATCCCCAGTTTCTGTTAGAATTAAATCTTACTATGGAGTAAGCAAGAGAGATGTACTGCATTTTCTCTACACTCTAACTTATGAATGACTTCACTTATCAGTCAAGAATAAGTAGAAAATGAGTATATTTGGGGGCTTTGTTCTCACTGGGGTTGTTAAGATAATTAGTTCAATAATTGAGTCACTGTTCCAGAAGGTAGGTAAAATATGCCTATAGAATTTATCAGGGAGCCAGATGGATTGCCAGGCTGGAAGCTTAACAAAATATGCCCAGATGCGATTACACTGGAAGTCCCTCAACATGAGGGAGTCCCTATTCAGTACGAAACTGCCAAGTAACTGCCCTGTAATCTAGGGACAGACAGCTGCTAAGATACCTGAATACAATACTGATCAAGAATGACTCCCATTGATCTTTAAATCCAGGGTACCACTTCTCAATGAAATTCTCTAAGCCCATGTGAAGTTCACTTATATAAATCAGAATAAGAAAAACAATAATAATAGCTATCATTTACAATGTGCCAAATACCACATCAGACATACTATCATTATAACCCCATGAACTAGGTTTTAGTGTCTTCATTTGACAATGGAATAAACTGAAATTGGGCAAGGGACAGGCAGGATTCAAACTCCTGTCTATTTGACTCCATAGCCTGCTCTTCTTCCAATTCTAATAGCAATATTAACATCTACTAAAATCTACCAACATTAAGCATCTCACATTTTACCTCATTTAATCCTTTCAAAAGCAATATGCATTATTATTGTTGTTGTTATCACCATCTCAAAAATGGAAAAAAAAAAGTTTAAGACCACCTAGCTGTTTTTACTAATAGAGCCAAGATGAAAAAACTCAGGTAGCTGACACCTGAGAACACAGGCTTAACCATCACAGCATATGCTCTCTGTAAAACACAATAAAGAATATTTGTAAGAATGAGACAGAATCGGGTCTCTTAATAATGGGCCAGCTGGACAATTTAGCTTTAAAAACATACATAACCAGTCCCAGTCCTCACTAATAGTGTCCTATTTCTGCACTCCACTCTTCCAGATTTTGGTATTTGAATGGAAGCTAAGAGTTCTTTGAAATATATGAAATTGAGTGTTTGGGAAGAATGTTTCTTATTTTTGGTTGTTTTGACCCTTTGGATAAATGTCACAATCAATCTGAATGAAAACAGTCCTGAGAAATTAGAACAGTTGCTGTATTTACTGGCTGAGTTTTCTTGGATCAGACTAGCTCCTCAATCTCATGAGTACACACCTTCCTCTCCCCACCCATCTTTTAGTCAATCTAAATAAATATAACATGAAAAATCCATTAGTGTTTCTTCATTGGTAGAACTTTTTGTAAATAAATAATGAAAGAATTCTACAAAATAAAAAAGAAAGCAAAGATGAGAAGCTGACCCATGTTTCTTCTCAAACTGTTACAAAGCAGCTGGCTTGCTCATTCTAAGAGTTTTTATTTTAAGATTTTTTTAAAATTTATTTCTAGAGACAGGGAAGGGAGGGAGAAAGAGAGGGAGAGAGACATCAATGTGTGGTTGCCTCTCGAGCACCCCCTAATGGGGAACTGGCCTGCAACCTAGGCATGTGCCCTGACTGGGAATCGATCCAGTGACCCTTTCTTTGATTAGAAGGCTGGCACTCTGTCCACTGAGCCACACCAGCCAGGGCTCATTTGAAGAGAGTTTTGAGGACACTAAGTTGTGAAAGGAATAACTAATTAACTAACATATATATTTTAAGGACAGTGAACAAATATGAATTTAATGTCACATTTTGAAAGATTCTTATTTCATACAATACTTGAGAGATGGATTTTGAAGTTACCTTGAAAGTTAATAAATTGACCTAAAATATACTGAGCTCCAAGTACCCTACTGCAAACAGGAAGACTGTAATGTTTAAATTCTAATAACAGGCACAATGTAATGAATTCCATTTAAAGTCTTTATTATCATTAATAAGGTTATCATTGGTCTTTCTTTGTGGATAGACATTCCTTCAGGATGTTTGATATCAAAGAGAAGTTACTCTTTCGTATTAGATGGTTTGATACAAAGGATGGGAACTAATCTCCAACTAGCTTAAGCCCAGGAGGAATGTACTGACTTATACCTGGGCATGATGGAACTGGCCTTAATGGCTACTGCAGTCAGGCTCTCAACCACTGTCACCACATGCCCTCTCTCTCTCTCTCTCTCTCTCTCTCTCTCTCTCTCTGATATCTGCTTCACTAATTCTGATCAGTAGTGGGGCACTTAGCCTCAGAGACTCTGAATTAACATCATTACAGAGAGAAAGGGAGTATCTCTTTCCCAACTTCAGCTGAAAAATATCCCAAGAAATGTTCCTGGTTGGGTTCTTGTGTAACATGCTTACTTCCTATCACTGCTATTGCCAGAGGGGGAGGTCCTGTGATTAACCCAGCCAGGAAAAGACACCTAACTCTGTCCAAAATGGATGGGAATGGTTTCTAAAAGAAGGAGGCAATGGGTTCTGACAAGGAAAAATAATAGTTATTACATCCTTGCCTATTTTGGGTAATAAAAGGAAAGTTATTTGGCATATAAGAAACAGATTCCAAATAACATGTGTCATGAAAACAAGCAAAAAAGGAAGAGGAACAAGAGATAACATATTTGAATGCAGTCAAGAGAATTTTATAAACATGGCAGGATGAATATCCAACCTTTCAACAGCAGGCACAGGAGTGGGCTACCTGATTCTAATGCCTATGAAAACAAACACCGTTCATAACTGGTAAGATACTTTGCAGGAGGAGTAGGTGCACAAAAAGTGGTTCTCTGTGAGACTGGCTTGTTGTAGAATACCACTCAATGAGTGAGGCGACAAGGATGACATGGTATATGATGGATATTTGTTGTCCTAGCTTTCTTTACAAATGATTATGTTCTTGAGCTTTCCACTTACTCATTAGTTTTTCAGAACTTAGAGATTTTATGGCATTGCAATAGTTCTGAAATAGCTCAACTATCCCAATTCTAATTTTGGTAAGAAGAGACCCAAGAAGGGAATCTGCCTCCCCTAGGAGCAGAGAAAAACTTAGTACTAAATTTATATAGATATCCAAGCTTCTGTATTACCAATACTTGACTCCCGGGTCTAGTATTGACCAAGGCCCACAGACAACAATGGAAAATGTAAAGGTTCCATTGGGCATATGTTTGAGGTTTAAAAATGATTTTTGGGTTACTGATAAGATTCTATGGACATTGGCTTCAATAGATCAAGTGTCCTCTTATCAGGACACAGCAGCTCCCTATCTAAACATCCCTTATGAACATTATCAAACATGAATCTCCTTCAAAGATTTCCATCAATGTCAGTGTCATTGGAACACTCAATCATACGAGTTTTCTTTTGTTTCTCCCTTTGCTTCCCCACCCTTCCAGATGATAGACATGATGTACTTTGTCATCATTATGCTGGTGGTGCTGATGAGTTTTGGGGTTGCCAGGCAAGCCATTCTCTTTCCCAACGAGGAGCCATCATGGAAATTGGCCAAGAACATCTTCTACATGCCCTATTGGATGATTTATGGGGAAGTGTTTGCGGACCAGATAGACCGTAAGCAAGTTTATGATTCTCATACACCAAAGTCAGGTATTTAACTTCAATTGGGTCATGTCTTTTCCAAGTTCATTTATTTGTTCTCAATAAATGGCTCAAGATAGAGGACCAATTCCTAGCTTGTTATCTTGGAGGAAAAAAAAAAAAAAAACAATTACAGAAAGTGAATACGCAAGTTCAAAGCAAAGTAGTCCTCGGGTGTTTCTCCAGGTATGTCTTTTCTGTGACACAAATCAACATCTGGTGTGCCCAATTTGATCAAAAAATAAACCATTTAACAAGATTGAAATTCTTTAGAGATTCAAAACTTAAGGCCATGTGTTGACTACTTCAATATTAGTAATCTATTACATCACTATGCCCCACCCCTACTCCAGCCTGTAAAAAATAAATTCCTTGGGTTTGACTTCAGAACAAATAAACAATTCTCAATTTCACCATCAGAATTCAAGAGTGAGGGCCAACATCTGCATGTTTTCCTTGCACTGGAAACTATTCTCCGGCTCCTTTTCCCACTGTCTTAAATTATGTGCTTTTGAGACTCAAAAGAAGCTAGTATTCGTTGCCTGGAAGTATGGAAAACGCCTTAGGTTATAAACTGAGTTGCTTGCTGTAAATGCCAAAAATAAAATAGTATCTATATAATGAAGTGATTCAGTGAGGGGAGCGAGCAGCAGCAGCAGCAGGCCCCTAATGTTTCAAGCCCTAATAGATACAGATTTTCTATTATAAACACTCCTCTTGTATAGAGTGTGAAGATAGTTGTATCCTAGGAATCTGTTCCAGAGTTTTATTTGGACCAAATGTAAGGGCATACCAGGCATTGGGAAGTTGTTTGGGAAGAAAGCATCAGGAAAGAAATAACTCTCCGTGTTGAGGAGTTGAATCCCAAGAGCAACTATTTCTCATTTTCCCTGAGGACTTCAGTTCTAGAAATAACATCCCTCCAACATTGTTGAATTAACATTTTTCAGACATTTTTTGCTGACAGGCCAGCCATCTGAGCCCTGGACTGTGGACATGGATTAAGGTTACATAACCAGGTAGTACAGCTTATTAAACGCAGGAACAGAGACTAGTCAGTACCCCTCTCCCATCGCCACCCAGGTAGGACTGAGACCAGGCAAGTAAGGACAAAGCACCAGAGTATGAATCCTGCAGGCCTGGGAAGAGCACGTGTCCATTGGAAACAGAACATACAACCCCATCATTTTCCCTTCCATGATCAATTTTGAACAATACTCGTTCCTTCCCAAAATGAGTTATCTGAGGCAAGAAGGCTTTTTGGAACACCTAATTGGAACAAATATTCATTTCATAAGACTTAGCCAACTCACTGAGGAAGAATTTTAACTCCCTCTCCCAGCTGAAATGTCTTTGGTTGACGATGTGCAGCCTTCACCAAGATAGCTTTCCAGGGACCGGGGGAAGCTCTTTTGGAATCCTCCTTTCAAATGGATCCTCAAGACAAAACGACATTTAAAACGCCTACCAACAATCATTCTCCTCTGAAACTAAATGTACTATTTTCCCCCAAGAAATTGCTTTACCACTTACATTATTTTGCCTTTTCTAATTTTTTCCCCAAAATGAAATTAAGTGCTCATGGGTGTTTTAATAATATAACATTTGGGTTGGGAGAAAGAGGGTGGTGCAGGTGTGTTTTATGAATGGGATTCTGTCTGTCCCTCTACAAGTGGCCATTTATTGATGTTGTACTATGAACCCAGCCTAGTGCAACAAACACCACCATCTGGCTGAATAAGAGGATCTATTACTGTTATTTTAAAAGAAGGGCTGATTGTAGTTTAGAACTTGAAAACCCCCAGAGAAAGAAGAGAGGTGTTTTGTGTGAGTGAAGTATGAAAACAGATTTCCCACATTGTTAATTAGATCTGTGGTGCTTTATGTGTGTGAGAATAATTTTCTACCCCTAATCCCAATATGTAACCAGCCCAGCCTTGGATGCAACCTTTATGACACCCTTCCGCTAACTACTTCCTTTTTGATGTTCTGAAATTGGCTACAGTGATAGCCACTGTTCTAAGCTAAATCAGCCAGTTTTCTGTCTAGAGTGCTAAAGAATATTTGTCCTTTCTCAAACGGGTATAGAAGAATGCCCCCAAATATGTCATCACATTTGGCCAAGGTCAAGGACCATGCCTGTCCTCTAAATGTTTGGTTTTCATGCTACGGCACTGGGTAGGCCCAAGGAGAATTGGGTGGCTGCCCAACTTGGTCATTCAGGACTGCCAGGGAGACCCAAGTACAAAGCTGTTTGAGAAAGGCACAAATCTTTATGCTGCCCTGCAGTGTCTTGCCTCTTTTCTGTGCCGTGTCCAGGTTGGTTTGTGAAGCATGTGTTCAGGCTGATGGGATCTCGTATCCACCTGGACCCACAGCCCTGCCCAGGGTTTACCAAGCCCCTGCTGTGATGTGCCCCGTGGGCCGCTCCAAGTGCTGTTCGTTCACACACACCGCAGAGCAACTCATTTCTAACGTAATGCACGCGCTCTATACCTTTTTGTTTTTAACTGCAAAACTGCCGAACCCATTTCATGTCTGCAGAAATAATCTTTCCTAATTGGGATGAACGTATGTGGATATATGGGGTCCTAGGATTGGGTTTTTAATATCTATCTGATATCTCAGAAGGGAGGGCAGCTTTAATGCCCTCACTTTCGGGGGCAATGATGTTGAACAACAGATTTTTTTTTATATACATTTCCGTTTTGTAGTTTGTCCTAAGCCCAAAGACTATCAGTAAGGCCAAAAAAGCTAAAATAAGACTTATAAGGTTCCTTTCCAAATGTGCTTCCATATTAAAAGAAAAAGATTTAAAACAAAGAATGGAGTCACTGTATATTCACAAAATGACATAGGTGTTTTTAACCTGTAAACCACATTGATTTAACACAAATGATAGTCTGGCTTTAATCTCAGTACACGTACAGGCTGAAATATTTGCTCTGGTGGTGGGAGGGGAAGTGAGTGCAAACACCTGGTTAGAAACAGCAGATAGTGAAACTGGGGCAGGGACAGCAATGTCGTCTCTGGACACTTTGTCCAACACCTGATAAACTGATGGGAATTGAAATTGCTATTGCTAGTTGGTTGGCTCATTTTTGTTTTGTTTTATTTTGTTTTTTCAAATAGCTCAAAATTATCTCAGGTTTTTGTTGTATAAAATACTAACTCTCCCAGACCCCACCTATGGGCCACTGTGAGGTGACTGGGGCTGCAGGTTGCTAAATGCATGCTACCAGATGATGACATTCGTTTGGGCATCTCCTTAAAGCAAGAGCCACTCAGGATCTGACTGGAGCCTGAGGGGGAAAAAGCCACTTAGAGAAGAGGAGCAACAAAATAAATTTCCAGCACATTCATGCCAAGGCTGAGACAAAGCTAAAATTTGACGGCCTCTTGCCAGCTGAGAAACCTGGTTCTGTTTTGGTGTGTGAGGTACCTGGAAAGACACCTTTGTTGGCAGAGAAAATAGGGTGTCCCTGACCTCCTTGAGCCTCTGAATGAATGAGACTGCCCTTTATTTACAGGCCACCCCTGTGTTGCCTGTCGTACACACAGATTCCCTAGGCCATACCAGGACAGGGGAAGATGAATCATGCTCTTGAATGCATTAAATCAGGGTCTAAATTTAGTCCTTCTTTCTGCCTCTCTGAGTATTTTTACAAGTTTGGGTAGTAATGTGAAAGCCTTACTTTCTACCATAACAACTTCATATTATTTGGCTGTTTCCACTTGCACTAAATTAACTAGCCAATCTACTTAACGCATGGGCCAACTTTTTTTTTTCTCTCTCTTGCTGCCTAGGGCTTTCCATCTGAAAAAAATAGGTAATCTGGAGTGAGGGTTTTTTTGGTAGTTTTGATTCGGTTCTGCTCTACTTCATTAATTAGTACAAAAGTTTTGCTATTAAAAAAAAATCCTCACTGTGTTGTACCCTTGTTGTCTCTATGATGTTGACTGGATTTCAACTGTTGTTTTTGTCGAGAAACAAGGAATACGTATGAGCATGTAAAGCTAAAACCCTCTCCTGCATTACTTTTCTGCCTCAAATTATTTGTTCCTCACGTCAGGTGTGGAAATTAGAGTAACTCAAGGCCAGTGTCTAAAATACACCTGTTTTTGGTGAAACTTAGAACAGCACAAACAGAGGGAAGATGGCTATTGTTTACGCACTTCAGTTGTTAGATTCCAGGGCTCTGCATCTGTTTGGTATTCAGGACGGACCTTCTCTGAAGGATTCAGAGCGTGCTAATGCCTGACAGCTATCGCGTGGGGAGTGTTGCTGGGCCAGAGAAAGTATTTTGGAGGAGAAAAACTTGAAACAGTGCCAACTTTTGGGAAAGGAGTGAATTGTTTTGCTGGGTTTTGTTTTCACAAATTGCTAAGGAAGCAAGCCAATATGAGGCACCACCCCTATCCCCTGTCCCTGAAAGTCAGTTTACATTTTAAGGAATACCTACCTGATTTGGATACTAATGCAAATGAGGCTTAGTGGCTTTACAAATGGCAGAGCTATCTGCAGACAGGCCCTTGTGATGATCCAGTATGCCACTGTGATCAACATTTGTTCCACTATCATAATGTTCATTTAGCCTTTGCTCACAGGTTGGCCTCCATTTTTAATTTGTTTACTCTTCATTCAATAGAATTTGTTTTTTTCCCCCGCTATGAGGTGATTACTGAGATACAGAGAAGAACGTGACAGAGATGCTGTCTTCAAGGAGTTTACAGTCCCGGACAGTCAACCTGGCGTTGGCAGGAGTAGGTGGAGATAGAGCCCCAAAAAGAAAGTAGTCAGTACTTCTGGGGTGAAAGTAGGAACACAATAGATGAAACCTTACAAAGAATGAGAGGGTTGAGCTGAGCCCTGAAATATGAGCAGACATTTGCTAGGCAGAAAGGAGAAGAGGGGTATGAAGGTGAAGAATGGCATTCCAAACTGGGAGTTAGCATGGCAAATTCCAGGCACA